GAGTCGGATAGCAGCTACGGTGGAAATCAAACGTAGAAATCGAGTGAAACTAAAGACGGCCGGCGTGCCTTTGACATTACCTAAGGGATCCCAATCTGTCTATGCAAAATTTGGAACTAGCACCATCTACCCGATGCGCATTGCCTACTGAAATAAAACAGAAAAAAACAAATGCTAGGGCTTATTCTGCAAAGGCCTATAAGATTTTATATGTCTCTGTATGCGCTCCAAATGTCAGAAACAACGCTCTAGCATTTGGGTATCAAATTTCCTAACACTAAAAAGCAGCAGTCGCAATAACTAACAACTGTAATTTTAAAACATTTGATATATTACGACACCTGATGATATGTGAGTCCTCATACAAATAGGAAACAGTTCTTTGACTGGTTCGACACAGGGTAGACAGGACACGATTATACTTGCGTAGGATGTATAAGAAACCTTATAAACTCAGGCAAACAAGTTGTTAGTGTTTTGACAATAAAATGCTGCATGTAGTTTACGTGATGAAACAAACTAACTTCGGGCATTGTTGCCAGCTGGTGATTTTATTAGATATTTTTACATTTAATGTTTTTGTCATTTCTTGATTAACGGTTCTACGCTTATACCACTGCCGAAATCACCGCAAAGCGGTCTATGGCCAAATCTCATGCCGCTATCTTCAAATTATGCTATATGGGAATTATGAATCTTATTTCATAACCACCAAGCCACGGACGCCTACGGTACACCCTTCTTATATTCTTCACCATGTGGCGTTTGTATTCGTGTCTTTCCAAAGCATTCTGTCTCGTGTATTTTAAATCCATTCTGACACAGATAATCTTCCATGCCATGACGAGAAACCATCTGCTCTCTTCTCTCCACCTTTCCCAACCGTCACGGTGTACTCCAGTTTTCTCCTTCTCATAACTTTGCCAAAGAACGTAAATTGTCTCCGTGTGTTGTGAACAATCATTTCTCTTCTTGAGTCAGTTTCTTTCAAGGCATCATCATTACTCTTTATATCTCTTCGTTGTGTTCTCGTAATTCGTCTATATAACCACGTCTCAACCGCAGTCGGCCCACTGTTCATGATTCACGTCCATACATCAGTATATGATTTACATTGTTCTTGAGAATTCTCTTTCTCGTCTCAACTAACGAAGAAAGATAACATAGAATAGTATTTTTTTAACATTAGTTAATTAGTTAGTCCACAGATTATCCTCACTGTATTTAGAACCATTCACTTTATAATTGGCCAGCCCAACGCCTACTCTAGCTGGGCCTCGGCGCACTTCCTTTCAGCTGTAGTCAGTGGGCTAAGCCGTAAGGGGATCAGGGCGGTTATTTTGAAGGCGGGGGTGGGGGGGGGGGGGCTGTGATTTTCACATTGCTTCTGGTTACATTTTCCGAAATGTCTGTTCTGAAGTGTTAAGTGTTATTAAGTATGCCTGCTAAATGTTCCGTACCTGAGTGTCGCTCAAATTATGATCCTTCATGTGGATATGTGAGTGTGTTTAAATTTTTTTTTCGGATTCACTTTTAAGAGCACGATGGCTGAATACAATTCCAGGGAAAATTTGACTCCTGGGAAAACCAGTGTAGTATGTGTGAAACATTTTCGTACGTCTGATATTTTGTATCTGATAAATGCATAGACAAATGTGGAGTCTTGCATATACTCTCAAGAAAGTATCCCGCTTAAAAAAAAAGATGCTAACCCAACTGTCTTTCCAGATCTTCCATCCTATTTATCAGTGAAAGTATCAGCCTCTCGTAAAACTCCAGAGGAACGGATATCACATAGTAATCGTAAATATGATCAAAAAGTAAACGAATGGCTGTCTTCAGATATTATTATATAGTTCCAAGATCTGAAATCACAGATAGAAAACAAAATGAAAAGACAGTTTGAAAAAAAATGGAAATACACTTCTGTAAATGGAGCTGTAGGATTTATTGTTTTGTATATCATTACCATACAGTCAGACTCTGCACCGCCCATAGGTATCAGCATAAAAGTGTTACTTGATATGACTATACAAGTCTTTGTTCAAAATAAAGAGGTTAGTGATAGAGACCTTAAATGGATTTTCGACAACAATAAACCTGTGAGATATCACATTGAAAATCTTGTAATCCACTACAATGCCTGGGATTGTAGTAAAATTCAATGCCCTAACAGCTTCACAGATTTAATGGGATAAGCAGGAAGTATTTTAAAAAGTGTTGCAGAACAGAAATGGACTTCTAATGGGTCAGCCGTTGAAGTAACTGACACACAAGTAAACTTTCTTGCAGAGCAGCTGCAACTGTTAACCTGGTTTAAAAAAAGGAAGGCGTGATTGTTGTAGCACAATCTGTTTCGTTTGTATGCTGTTCATTAAATATCCAGCATGCTATCAGTTTATAAGAAAATCTCGTATGTTGTGCCTACCCCTTCAAAGAACACTGTAAAATTTCACTTCACAGTTGTCCTGGTCTACTCATACTGGCAGCATCTCATAGTACTTCAGATTGAAATAGGATAAACTGACTGAGCTAGGAAAGATTCTATTGGTTCAGATGTGTGAAATATCGGTTACTTACTCTGGGGGAAAACTGTTTGGCAATGCAGACAATGTAAAAGAAGCAGCAACAACAGTGCAAGCTTTTCTCGTGTCTTCAGATTTTGGGAGCTATCAGAAAGTGATGGAACTTTCACTATGAACAGAATGACATCTAGGAATCTGCGTTTAAAATTGCTCTGTTGTATCTACATTGTGAAGGAGTGTGACTTCACAGTAGTTGCATTAATTGCTGATATAATGCTTCTGGCTGTTATGTGGTTTCTCTAGACAAATTTACCTCCAGTAGTTTGCCATTGCTCCTGCACGGTCGGCCCCTTGACACCACTGTCGAAACCAACGCAAGGCGCATGGCCCGCAGCTGGGATCGAACCAGGCATTACGAAGCGTTCGCATCGACTTAGCCACAGAGCCGACTAACAATAAATATACACACACAATTAATAGGTCGGAACTAGACACATAGGACAGCGCGAAGTGTTTACTTAAACTAATCAATGTACTGTTATTTTTTTTTAACGATTACAGAGACTCTCTTTATGTGTTAATCAAATTTACACGTTTTGCAATGATTCTTACTAACAGTCTTGTCAAAAGCAAAGGTTCTTGAAATTGGGAGACTAGAACAGTGTTTCTCAAATTAATTTGACACACCGACCCCTTTAAAAAAAAAAAAAAATCGCCTAGCTCCCTTCTCTCCCAGGAAATATCCCAGTCATGTGCCATGCCGTAAACATAGGCGGTCACGATTCGCCAGCCTACATGGTCAGCAGAATCACAGACCAGGTCAATGCTCCTGTCCCGACCCATGCATGGAGCCAAGCCATCGCAGTGTATCTTTTTTTTTTTCTTAAATAAATGCTAGTTTACAGTCAATTTCCTGTGTTATAAATTTACCGTGGGGGAACAACACAGATGACATACAAACATCTCCAAGCCATCTCCACCTTCTTTCTTTGCTAACTTTTGCCGGTGAGGAACATTTAGTTCTCCTTGTATGCTCTTCATTTGTTATCTCTTTTGACATTTTCTACTCCTGTCAACTGTTCTGTGTGCGCAGTTTTTGTCTCTCTGTTATCTGCCAATTAGAAGTAGTCATTGGCGTCGAAACCTGTGGGCTAAAATCCATTGAAGTGCCCCTCACCCCCTCCCCCCCCCCCCCCAATGAGTACCCATTTGTAAAAATTATCTTTAAAAGGTTTTGTTTATTCATTCAAAATTATTTCGAGTATGGTATTATACTTATGTGCCATCATTCACAATAAAAAATGCAAAATGATAATGTGTTGAAAAGCAAATAAATATAAGAATATACTTGAAAAAATATTAAGTGTGTAAGTAAATACTTTGAACAAGAATTTTTATTCATTGCAACCACCTTATCCTGTCTAGACTCCATGTTACTTTGTAACCGTCGGGGACTCTAATTTTTTTTTTTTAACGTATCCAGAAACCATGAGTTGTAAACCATTTGGCTCGGTACTATGGATATCGCAATCCTTCGGCAGTGATTCCATTATAGGTACCGTTAATCTGGGAGAAATGTGGCTTTTCTGCCTACCCCCGGGAGTGAACCCGGACCAAAAGGAGTTCGTCACCCGGCCGCCGCGAAAGTCAGGTTTAACCAACTTCGCTAGAGAGCCGGATTATAACCTTACAGTTGAACAGGGTTTCTGGGAGTTGTACCTAGGGGATTTTCATCCAAGTAGTGACACGTTGCACGTTGCGTCACCAGGTCCAATCTATGCAAAGTCCATCGTGTCCGAATTGTCTGCCAGTGTTCCTCTGCCAACTGCTAAAAAAGTCCAACATGTGTTCGGTAAACCAAAGTAAGCTCGGTCGTCCAGGCATGCTGACTGCTTTAATTAGGCTGCCGTGGAGTCTTCTTATCTCACAGTACCTCCTGCGAAACCACCAAGTCGTCTTGTCTCTGGCCGAAAGAATAACACCATCCGGTAATTCCGTGCAGCGGGGAACCAGCCCTGAGCTCCATGAACTCAGGAGGGCCCACCTCTGAATGCGTCTAGGAATCGTGGGCCGAAACGCGTGTCGACGAGGATAATTTCTACTGATGACTGGTAGATCCCTGCTGTACTTGCTCCCTGTGAGTTTATTCCTATGCAATCCTAGTGGGGTACAACTTCACTCGCTCATATATTGTTAATAGTGACGTTTTACAAAATTAGTGGGCACCCATTTTTTTGTTTACAAAACGTGTTAGGCTGGGGCCATTCCAGTGTTTTCTCTGTGTGGTTGTGTGAGGTAGTAGTAGTAGTATTTACAGAAATAATATTTTGATCAACCCTGAGGGTTGAAACTGGTATATTGTGTGTTTGAGAATTCCAGGACCAAGAACTAATGAGCATTTCGTGGTTACTCACACAGAAGATTCTCTCCCAGGTGGTCACGTGACACGCTCCTTTGAAATAGAGGCGCGTCAAAATGGCGGCAGAAGATTCAGTTGCCAGTAAGTTAACTTTTTACACAATATTTATTACAGGGGCTATTCTTCAGATCCTCTCTCTGTATTTTGCATACATATGTGTATTCATTCGAGGGCTTTAGTTGCTCATTAGGAAACAATATATTCACTTAAAAATTCATGCATCCTGTTTCAATGCGTACTACTACTATTACTACTAAAGAAGGATCCGTCCACGACGACGACTTGATGTGACGAGACCGCACGGACAAACACCCTCACGCGTTTGTAATTTTGATATCAACATTTCCGGTAGATTTTAATTTGGGCAGTTGCTTGGACAATACGTTATTCGTGTGTCATTATGAAAGTGTTTAGCCGTGGTTAGAAATGACGTCAGAAACGAAACAGTCTCCGTCTCGTTTCTTAGATTTGAAATAAATTATTACGTTTTGTCTTAGCAGTCACTGAAAGATCGATATTTGTGTGTTGGGTTGGAAATTGATTTTTGGTTTACATTTACACACATGACAAACAAAGACTGAAACGGATGCCAAGAATATTTGACCAGCAGAATGTGCCATAGGCTATGTCAAGATTAGTTACTACTGTATGTGTATGCCACTATGCCTGGAATGTAAACCCATTGCAGTTTGCCAAAATAAAATTATATTTTCTTTGAATTGCTTTTTTATTTTTCGGGTAAAATAGTTAAGAATTAGAATAGTTGAAGTGATTAATTGAATCAAAACAAACAAGTTAGTGATTTAAGTAATAACTAATATGGATGGTTCTTGTTGTAGTTGTCACACAGTAGTTTAATGGAACTTCAGACTCCATACAGTCATAGTCATACACTTGCTTGACTGAGAGGGATGCATCGTCATATGAGACCTTCATTTGCTATTTCTTACAGTGATTTAAAAAAAAGTGGGGGTGGGGTAACAGTGCTGCTGCTCCTCTAAGGTGCTTGTCAGAAGTGGGGTGGCCATCTTTATATTCAATGTGACATCACTGACACTGTGCTAGGTCTGCACAGAGATGTCACATGCTTAACATTCTTGACATTTGACATCCTTTACAATACTGGCAGGTTTGCAAGACAGTGGCATGGTTATCATCATCAGTCACTTCTACAGTTTTCTTGTGCAGCCACTCTTATTATATTCCCATAGTCTGCAGTGAATACATTGCAGCCAACCTCTGTTGTGGAGATGACACATTTTTTTGGCACTTGATTTCCCTAATGTTCCTTTTGCAGATATTTGGGCTCTCCTTTCAACTTCGGCCGGTAGACAAACATCGACGGCCGGTTAGTCAGAGTTATGTCCCCCTTGCTACAGTGCAATTACGGACTGGACAGGAGGGAACGAAACAAATTACATAATTACTGTGTGTTGCCGATAGACAGCATACGGTTTGGGTTAGGGGTAGGGTTAGGGTTTGGTTTAGCGGTAGGATTAGGTTTAGGGTGTGGTTTAAGGTTACTGTCGCCGCATCTTGTCTTCGCGCAAGCTCATAGTAGCAACCCTACCCCTAACCCTAGGGTACTGCACGCTGTCTATCGCCGACACACAGTAACTATGTCACTTGTCTCGTTCATTCTAGTCCACTCCGTAATGAGTCAGCAGACGCGGTAATTGTACGCGGTCCCTAATTTGAGTGGCAGCGCTGGGTCTGCATGTCGACCTCACTGTGTTGTTTGATTCGTGCCGTCTCCAGTCCGTAATTGCACTGTAGCAAGGGGACATAACTCCGACTAACTGGCCGTCGATGTTTGTCTACCGGCCGAAAGTTGAAAGGAGAGCCGATATTTGAACAATATTCTTACTGAGCAATCCAGATGTTTTTATGTTTTCCTTCTTTTCAACTCAATTATTGGTACTTTCATTTTAGCCCGCCCCAAACAAAGGGAATCCCAGAAACTCTGGGAAAGTCCAGTGTTCTAGAAGTGTTATGTGTTGGTTGTTTTCAGTGTTTATCTACTCACATCATTCCCAGTGTTTCTTTCGTTGGTCATCACTGTATCTAAGTGCCTGTTTGGAAGCAATGGTTCTCAATTTGTCATTAATTTCTTTGACCTGGCAGCCAGCATTTCTAAAAAGAATGAGATTAGTATTTTTTACAGTTTAATCAATTATTTGATAACTTGTTCTGTTGGTGTTATATTTAATTTATTCAATTACTGCCTTATATATTATGAAACTTAACATAAACAGCTAGTAGTTGTAAATTTAATTTTTCTTTTAGGTTCTGCGCAAGCATTGGTAAGCTTGAAAGAAGGTAAGTTAAAAAGGAAATCTTTTGCTGTTACTTTCAAATTAATTTTTTTCCGGTGTATGTTTAGTATTACCTTTTTAAGATTCTCCATATAAATTTTTGTGGAAAGTCGTTGAGGTGTCATATTTCTTGTTAGACATCCTTGTGAATTATATTAAAGGACATTAATGGACATTATCTTCTTTAGCTTTTTTTAAATATTTGATTAAAGGCTCCAAAATGCTGCTTGTAATTTCCTGGCATATATGGTACACGGCAGAGGGAATCAGCTTCACTGATTAGGATTTTATTCCTTATGGCAGTGATTTCCAAACTGTGCCATGGCGCCCAGCAGAGCCGCAACCTCTTCACCTCTTCGCCGTGGAATATTCCAGGATACTCAAGTTTTTTTTGTTTTGAACTCTTACATACAAATAGTCATATTTTTACTTAGGTTAGCTCGCCACGGACAAATTTTAATTGAAAAAAGGCTCCGCGACTAAGAAAAGTTTGGGAGACACTGTCTTATGGTTCAGTCTCTCACCACAACTGCAAGCCGCTGTCGAGAGTACCATGCCATGCCAAGCAGCTTTGCCATGATTCCCAGAGACCTCAGTAACAGTTTCACTTGTGAACTGAAAAACACAGACCATGAAACGAACCCAGGACCTGCAGGGCGCGAGGCAAATGGTTTAACCACTACAGGGATGTGCTACAGGGATGCAAATAGTTTTAACCCTACATTACACAGAGGGTTCAGCGTCAATAGGCAAATAGTTCAGTGTCACAGTTCAGTGCAAGAAATAGTTAAACCACTTTGCTACAGGGATGTCCACATTACACAGAGGGTTCAGTGTCAAGAGGCAAATGGTTAAACCACTTTGCTACAGGGATGTCCACATTACACAGAGGGTTCAGTGTCAAGAGGCAAATGGTTAAACCACTTTGCTACAGGGATGTCCATATATTGTGTGTGTGATTGTGCGGGTATTTGCCATCTATGCCATCTCATGTATATTGTTGTATGAACACAACATGCTATATTGATAAAATACAATTGTGGTCTTTAAAGAGAATGTTTGGAAGAGCCCAATTCAAGATAGGCCCTCATGGCCTATTTGTGACCCTTTCAAAATAATCTGTAACATAGTGCTTACTTATGTTGCATAACACTTGATGTGGTGCATACTTGTGTACTTGAATTTGTGGCCTTGTCGATAGAAACTGCAGACAGTGTCTGTGTCTGTGAATTGGTTGGGAGCTTATTCTGCATTGGACACAAGGAGGACGGAGACGAAGGCTTTATCATGGCAGAGACCGAGATTAATCCTGTCTTCATTAGCCAGCTTCGTGTCACGTGGAGGGTCTGGAAGATAGTCAGCACTGAGGGGGCAACATAGACAGACTTTTAATCATTTTGCAGCTGCTATACTATTAGCTTGTGGACTCTTCGTTGGCTACTCATGTATGTACAGTGGATCCTCGCTTAACGAGCATAATTCGTTGCAAAATCATACTCGTTAAGCGAAAGACTCGTTATGCGAAGCAATTTTTCTCATTTAAATTAATGTAAAATACGATAATGCGTTCCATGTCGAAAAAAATACTCACAAAATGCTATGTATAAGTTAAACTATAACATTTATTCAAAGAAAATGATATACATATTTAAGAAGAGGGAATCATCTTCACCTTTTCTTCAAACGCGGAACAAACCTACATGGAATGCAAATTCAACTTGCAAAAAAAAAAACAAGTTGAAATTGTTACGATACATAGCTAATTATTTTTTTTTACTAGAAAGATGTCCAGAGACATTTTTTTTTATTATACTTCAAAATTTGGCGAAAATGTGACACAGCATTATCATTAAATTTGCAGCGCGCATGGCCACTTCCTTATTAGGGTAATGCTTCTCAATGTGAGAAGCAACAGTTTCCCATGCTTTCAGCAATTTTCCTATTTCGCCAGGAAATTGCTGCTTTTCTGTTACCTCCTCCTCCTCCTCTGACAAACTATCCTCCAAAACGTCTTGCTGTGATACATAATGCAACTCCATAAGCTCTATGATGGTCAGCTCTTGGCTGTGCTCTTCCACAAGCTCTTCGATATCACTGTTATCCACCTACAATCCCATGATAGTGGCCAAAGACACAATCTCGTTGACTACAGGTTCCACAGGTGCTGTCTCGAACCCCTCAAAGTCACAAATCGACAACACTCTCCGGCCAAAGCTTCTTCCAAGAAGAAGTTAGGGCTCTCTTGGTAACCCCTTCCCCTGCCTTGACGGTCATCTTAAGGCAGGCAACGATGTGAAAGTGATTTTTCCAAATCTCTTTAAGTGTGCGGTTGGTCCCTTCAGTCACCTGAAAACAATGCTCGAAGAGTGCTTTAGTGTAGAGCTTCTTAAAGTTAGTAATAACTTGCTGGTCCATTGGCTGGAGTAACGGAGTGGTGTTGGGAGGTAGAAACTGGATCTTGCTTAACTTAAATTCATCAGAGAGGTCATTTTGTAGGCCTGGAGAATTCATGTACATATATCACAATATAACACAAGTTTGAGAAAATGTGTGATCCCAAGTGACAATGCTACTGGAACGAGTGCTAAACACTGATGTAACATGCGCAAAATCCTGGACTTCCCCTCTCCTCGCCACCCGTTATGCGAAAATCGTTAAGCGGTCATTCCTGGCTCGTTATGCGAATTACTCGTTATGAGAGGTGCTAGTTAAGCGAGGTTCTACTGTATGTATGTAAGTTGTACTCCACCAGTACATCACACAAGCGATAAACACCCAGTGTAAGAAAGTGTCACCATGCAGTTGAGGATCACCCGTGAAGAGGTCCCAGAAACCCCATCAGCTGCTGGGCTATATTTCAGGCCCCGCTATATTTAGGGCTCCTGGCAAAAGCCAGGGTGTGGCTTTGAAATAACTAAATATTGCACCCCACAAGGGGATGACGAGATTGATAACTACTCATGAAGGAGGCAGAGCATATGTGGGAATGACCTGGATGCAGTGATGTGAGTTCTTGATTAATTCATTCATTCAGTGTCAGCTTAAGATGGAGAAGAAGAGGGTTCTGTGTCTGTACAAACTTTGACGGTGACAAATCAGTTGGCTGTATCGGCCAGATATCTGAATTCCTAATGATAAAATCCCACGTTTTGCAACACCTTATCTTAATTATATATACAGTCTTTTCACAATAATCCTCTTGAAAATATACTTAGTATTTTCAATTTTCCAACACATCAGTTTTCATGAGGTTACAATTTATGTTTTCCATATAAAGAACTGGGAAACATTTATTCCTCAACAGTGAACACTTCACAGACAAAATAGATTTAAGTACATTAAAATTTCACACTTAGCACATTTTTACTTTACCATACTCCATATTTTCCTTTAAAGACAAAAACCATTCTTTAAAAAAAAAATTATATTAAGAATGATTAAATATAAGAAATGACACTTAACTAAACAGTAAATTTATGTAAGCCGTATATTTATTTAAGACATGATTTACAAAATCTGACCAACCATGAAGAAATAATGCTGATATTAAAATATTATGCTTCAAGGTTTAGAAGGTTAAATAAAGATGTTTAGATACTTGACTTAATGGGATCACATAGTCGTGAATGTTAGTCATTACTTTAAGCAAATGTTGATGAAAGATCTAGTCATGAAAGATTAATCAGATAATTTAAAAAAATTAATTTCTCTCATTTCCTCTAGGATTGGGATCCCCCCAGAGAATAGGTCATTATGTGAGTAATTGATATTGTTCTTTGTCATGTATATCTTTTTTTTTCTTACACATTGAGTTGGTTGGTTGATGGATACTATGGAGGACACAAGTTTTAACTCCCAATAGAATGAATTCCAGAGCCCAATTTTAGATAAAGAATTGAGGGCGGGGGCAGACCCCTTCCCTCGCCCAACAAGCCTGAAGACTAATGTGCCTAATTAGCAGGTGTTTCCTTCGACCTCTGCCTTCCACTGCCTGAGAGGTGAGGAACCAGCAGTCTGCACACACAAAAAAGCCAGATCTATAAAACAGACACACTCACACAATTCAAGTTCTGGAACAAGACAAGTCCAAAAGTAGAAGAACAACCAGAACTTTTCGTCAAGAGTTTACAGATGGTAAACACGAAAAGGATGTAAGGAAATATCAATCCTTTCTCTGTGTAAGGAAATGTCGATCCTATCTCTGTGTAAAGAAACATCGATCCTATCTCTGTGTAAAGAAACATCGATCCTATCTCTGCGTAAGGAAACTTCAATCCTATCTCTGTGTAAGGAAACGTCGATCCTATCTCTGTGTAAGGAAACATCGATCCTATCTCTGTAAAGAAACGTCGATCCTATCTCTGTGTAAAGAAACGTCGATCCTATCTCTGTGTAAAGAAACGTCGATCCTACCTCTGTGTAAAGAAATATCGATCCTATCTCTGTGTAAGGAAACATTGATCCTATCTCTGTGTAAGCAAACGTCGATCCTATCTCAGTGTAAGAAAACGTTGATCCTATCTCAGTGTAAGAAAGTGTTGATCCTATCTCTGTGTAAGGAAATGTTGATCCTATCTCTGTGTAAAGAAAACATTGATCCTATCTCTGTGTAAAGAAACATCGATCCTATCTCTGTGTAAAGAAATGTCGATCCTATCTCTAGAATAATTGACCAGTGTTAGCCTTTTGTAGCATACAGTAGAATGTTGCCTTTTTGAAGGACTCAATCTACGGACATGTGAATCAGTCATTTAGTAGGAGATCAACATATTCTAAATGAGTTTCTGATGGACATTTTCATCCATTCGTTGGGGTAGGGCTGATTAGTGCCAGAGGTTTCCTGGGCACCATGTCTCTTGGGGACACTAGCTCCGAGAACCCTAGCCAGTTTGATAGAGGTCATTATCCATGGTTCATGACATGAACATCTGGCAGGGGTTTGGCATAAGATTTCATAAAACCAGCATTGGGAGTGCTGGTTTTTCTACGGTGATGTGCAGCACAACAGCCTTACACATGTGATCAACATCACCGCACCATATGAGCCTGAGTTGATTTCAGAGCCATATTGGTTAAAAAAAAAAAAACAACTTCTAGAGATTAGACAGGCACGCACGCTAACTCCTCTGCCGCCACAGTTCATTCCTTAGATGTATTTTTGTTTACAGACTCCAGGTCTGTTCCATGGAGCAAAACTGTTCTTTCTCCCCATGTGGGTTAAACCTATAAAGCAAAACTGTTCTTTCTCCCCATGTGGGTTAAATCTTTGGAGCAAAACTATTCTTTCTGCCCATTCTTCTTAGATGCTAAAGTTTTTTTTGTGGGGGGGGGGGGGGGGGGGGGGGCGCGAGAATGAACCCACAACCCCTTGAAAAGCATGTTTTAGAAGGCAACTCAAGGGTTTGTTGAAATCGGATGTTTTGAGTTAAAAGGTGCAGATATTGTGGCTTGTCTGTTAACATCGCAGTTTACCAGCCACTCTTTTTAAGGGCAAACACACACACACACAAAATTACTGTTTTTTTTTCCACTTTGTAGAGGGTGCGTCTATTGTTAGTGTAGGTGTGACATATGTCCAGATACACAACAGTATTTTCCACTGCTTCATCATCATCATCATCTTGTCTCCTGCCAACTGGCGTAGGCGCTCATGCTCCTCCACAGATCAGGATCCCTGGTTCCCTGGAACAGCTCTCTTGATAATACCCCTCCATGCCATCGTTTCAGTCCATCCAGCATCTTCTCTCTTGGTCTGCCTCTACTCCTTTTTTTATTGATCTTCCAGTTGTCACGATGTTCTCCAATGTCTCTCTTCTCATTATGTGGCCAAAGAACAGTGTGTGTCTCTTCCTTATTGTTGTATATAGAGATCTACTTTCATTCCGTTGCTTGCTTTTCTTATATTAGCATTATTCTAGGCTGGGTCTATCCAGACTGTTGTACAAAATGTGCTGAAATTATTTTCCCAGCCTTCAAGGATCAGAAAGAAAAATGCCCGCTTCTTCAATGATGATGAGGAGACGGATTACCAGGTTACCAGAACCCCCAAGAGAAGAGTCATTCAACAGCCCTCTGTAAGTTGTGAAGCTGTTCACATCATTAAGTGATGTTATGTGATTTTTGTAAATAGGATGTGAAACAAATACGAAATAGGTGCGCAGTGATTGTTATATGGCCCGCATGATGTTGACCACATCCCCCGCTGAATACTGATTGGGTCTATAAAATCAAAGGTTAAAGTCGGGAGGATCGGCTTCATTGCACCGGGTTTTATCCCATATGGCTTGGTCTCTCTCTCTCTCTCTCTCTCTTTCTCTCTCTCTCTCTCTCTCTCTCTCTCTCTCTGCAGAAGGGCTAGTTGCTCCGGCGACAATCCCCAGAGATCTCCATAAAAAGTTCACTCATGAACTGAACGCCGCAGCCGTAAAACGAACCCACGACATTCAGAGCATGAGGCAGATGGCTTGGCCACCGAGACCCCGGAGACCGGTTTATAAAAATTTGGATCCAGCACTGTATGCCTGATGTGGCAGTGGGTTGAAAAGAGCCCTTTTGCTAATACTCTTTATTTAGAAGCATTTAATGTGTCAACCAGTCATATTTCGCTGATTGGTCTATAAACAGTATGCATCTGACACTATGCCTAATTCAGTATCTTTGGCATTATTCTTTTCTAGACCGTTCGGGTTAAAAGGGTTAAGGTAAGTTAATGTTGATCTTTGAAATTACATGACCAAGGTGTTAGTGTGGACAGCTGCATTGTGGAGATAGTACCTGATCGATTGATGAGGCATGGTGGTTGTTGAACAGTAGCATTTTGGAATTGTAATTACACATTATATTTTGCTATAATTTGTGGTATTGTTGTTGCAGCCTGCGCCACCAAGAGCGGCTATTGTTCCCCCCACCACTGCCGCCGCCGCCACCACCACCACTACGGCCATCATTAGTGGTGGAATGGACAAGAAAGTGGCCCAATCGACAGGGCTGAGATTACGAAACCTCCTAAAGTTGCCTAAAGCACACAAATGGGTGTGCTATGAATGGTTTTATTCCAACATTGATGCGTAAGTGTTTTTGTGACAGGTATGTCTTTTTCTCTCACTGTTTCTGAGATCTACATAGTCAGTGGTGCGTGTAATCTTGTTTGCTGCAAGTCACCTTGGTGTGACGCGCTGGCCTGCGGGTATAAAGATCATTGGTTCAAGTCCTGATGGAGCCGGACTATTTTCGGTAATCACATTGGCTCACAGGTGGACCCAGCCTTGAATGGGTGCCAGGTAAAGTCCTGGTTAGTAAAGGCAAGCAGCATAATGTTTACCACATCGCCCACCGAGCGCCAGCTGGTCTATATAATGTATGTCTAGCCCTATAAAATGTTGTATACCCATTATTTTGTTGATGTCTCAGTTGACTCACTGAGGCATCAGCTATGGCCTTCAGGAATGGAAATAGTTAAGAAGGACTGGGTAACCCCCCCTTCCCTTTTCCATAAAAGAGACACCAGAAACCAGATGGAGTACTGTATATGTCAGGATGGATCAGTGAAAAGTTACAGACATTCTAAATAGTCGCTAACTTTGTAAATTATTTTTTTCAGGCCCCTATTTTTGGGTGAAAACGATTTTTGCATCTGCTTAAGAGAGTCGTTCCCCCAGCTGAAATGCAAAAAATTGCGGCGTGTTGAATGGAACAAGATACGCAGACTTATGGGCAAGCCAAGAAGGTGAGTTCAGCATGTAATACATCACAGATTTTAATGTGCCGATTGATCTTCATAGATGTAGAAGAAGTAAGTACAGACCAGAGGACGGCTGACACAGATTGAAAACTTTTTTTTTTTTTTTTGTTGCAACTGCGTTGTGCCTGTTTGCTGCCAAGCTACAATATTTGCAACTTTCAGCTGACACGTGCGACCTCATTGAGTAATTGTTGACTGGGTTAACTTTTGAACAATTTCATGGGACATAACTTAGCCTTGTTTGTGTGGTGTTCTCTTGATCCTTTTATCTACAGGTATTGCTCCTAGAGAATCTGTCCAGGGCAACTGCGTGTAGACTGGTCGGCTTCAAGGAAAGGCAGAGGAAGTTAATGGGCTTTCCCCGCCATCCAAGAAGGCTTCTATAAATGCAGAGCCAACACATGGACAAAAATGTACTCCTTGATTCTAGAAAGTGGATGGGACATCTTAAACCAGAGCATTCCTTCTATGTGTTCTGAGGCCCCATTTTGGTTGAGTTCCCCATGGAAGCAGAATCAGAATATTGACTAGGAATTCCGTCCTCAAGTGGACATCATCGAAAATTTCTATAAAACAGAGATAGGGGCTGCTTTCCTACCTTTTGGCAGATCCAGCAAATACTGCTAGACCCTTCATTTGAAAGACCATTTAGTACTTGATGGTTGATGTCAAGATCACTCCAGCAGCCTTTATTTTTCAGGACATTACCCAGTACCCTCATTGAATCTACAAAACCTGTATCAGTATTAAGATATGGATATTAGACCTTCTGACTGGCAGTTGAGAGCACCTAGCCACCATGCTAGAGTGCTGCCTCCCTCCACCCCCCCCCCCCCCCCCCCCCCCCCCCCCCCCCCCCCCCCAATCACCCCCCTGCTAAGAAATAAAATGCAAGAGAATAATCGTACATACAGTAACTTGTTAGAATAAATATGTTAAGTGCAGCATTCATTCAGTAGCATGTCCCTCGCGGAACCTCGCTGCCATAACAACCCTCCGGAAAACCTTCCTATCATGAGCAAGATGTCCTGCGTCTGATACACCCATCTGGAGATCATCTGCCACATCCTGTACCCATCTTCTCCTTGGCCTTCCTCTTCCTCTCTTCCCAGGCATATACCCCTCCATTATTGTTCTCTCTAGACTTCCATGACGTTTCAAGTGACCAAAATATTTCAATTTTCTTTGTTTTATTGTCTTTTACTAGCCAACCCTCTTTATTCAGCTCTTGAAGTAGGATGCAGACCCAAGATATTACATTTTATATTCAAATGCATTTATGCGCTGTTCCGCTTGTTTAGTAAGTGTCCAGGTCTCACAAGGCGTACAATTTGCTCTTAAAAATCTGACCTTTGTAATTCTATCTGTACAGTATAATAATTTTTTCAGTGAAGCATTGTGAAAGATAAATACATTTTACATTGCTTGTTTTATGTTTTCTAGGTGCGGAGCATTTTTGGCTGGACGGAGAGAGAAAAGGATCAGAGAAAGATCAGGCAGCTACAACAGAGAAAGGCAACAGAGTTCAACTCTATCAAAGATTTGCCTGATGAAATTCCTCTTCACTTGGTTATTGGAACAAAAGTCACAGGTTGGTAAATTTTCTTCACCTGCTCATTTTCACTATAAATGTATTTTTTGTGTGTGTGTTTGTTCTATGTTGAAGTAGTTTGAATTAATTCCTCTTCTTCTTCACGTTCACCAGCTGTAAACTCTGGCGGAAAGTTCTGGGTATTCCTTCACCTATGGATTTGAGTCTTGCTCCAGAACCTGAGTGTTGCATGCACACCCGTTAACAGATCTGCTTCATTTGTGTGTAGGCTGTTGGTTTCTTGCCTTTCAGGCAGATGCACTCTGACTTCAAAGGAAGCCCCCAGCTAGTCGACTCTTACAACATGCTTTTGGGAGGCGGTGAATCTGTTCTTGTATTTCCCACAATAGGGCCCTAGAACCCACACAAGGAGTTTACATTTATTTATTTGTATGATGTTCCTGAAGTAATTAATGTGGAATTCAGCTTTCTCTGTGGTGTTTATATATTAATTTACAGTTTAAAGCTCAAACAATGGTTAATGTCTTCTTCTTCTTCTTCTTCTGCTTCTTCACTTCCTACAGTGACTCCATCTGTGTTTTAGAGGAAGATGTGAGGATCTTCTCTGTGCTGTTTCCAGTGTGTTGTATAAGTTAGTCTTTATTTTCTCATGGCTGGTCTTGATTCAGTCATTTTCCCTTTTGCATGGTCTTTCCCTTGCTCTATGTCCATTAAACTTCTTCAGCCAGTCTCGCTGTTTCAGTTGGTACTAGGGAATTCTCGTCAGATAGTCAAATCATCGCATCTTTAATAAACTTGTGGGTTTTGGTCCTAGCCTTCTTCTGATTTCTTCATTTTTAATTCTGTTCCCTTCTTGTTGCTCAGACAGCTCTTCTGAGTCTCATCTCTTTTGTTATGATTTTTGTCCTAAAATTTTTTTATTTGGATCCATCTTTGACTCTGGTAGCATACATTAGGCCCAGAAACAGTTGCCTTGGTGTAGAAAGGTATACTTCTGAGTGTCACAAGTGGTGTTTGTTGTCACAATACCTGGTTTGCTTTAGCTCATCGTGTGTTGATTTTTCCTTCTGATTTTTGTTATAACTATTTTGTGAGATACATTATAATCCTCAAATGTTTCTGTTCATTCATTCACTTGGGTATTTCCATTTGTTTAGTTGGGTAAAGGGAGGAGAGAATTGTAATAAAAATGTATTGCCTAATTAAGAAGTTATAGAACAATTTGAAGGCCACAGGCACAAAAAGCATAATGATGCTTGAAAGAAATCAGTTTACTGGTAACTGACATCAGAAACTGAAGTACACCATGATGACAGCAAAGTTAGATAGGCAGGGAGAGACCAAGAGAGACAATTTGACATCGCAAGGAGGGACATCAAAATTGATTGGCAGTACACGAGACAGAAGTCTGAGGACAGACAAAATCACATTGTGAGAAGAAAAATTATCCTTGTATGCTTAGGGGTCCCATTGTTTTAGGGAAAAACAAAAGACCCACTATCAGTGTTCAGATTACCTTCATCAGTTTTACTATTGTCATTTTTTTAAAATACTTATTTTATTATATATTTTTCATTTGATTCTACTCTCTATCTCAGTACCATTTATGGATCATTATCATTTGTTTTTCTATTTTTTTTTTCCTACTGGTATTACATTTTATCCATATTACTTTTGTGACTATTTTTCGAGTCTTCTTTTATTTTATTTTGTGTTATTTTATTTTATTCATTCCACATCACCCTTTAAGAGGCGCTGGTGGTTGGAGTAGTCTCACATTTAATATAATTGAGTCAGTTCATGTTGAGAAAGACCCCGGCCGAAACGCTGATTTGTATTTCGTGTGCATGTTGTTCTGCTTCCGTGTTTCATTCAGGTTTTTAGTCACAGTTTACTGAATTAATTTCTTGCCTCCTAACGCATGTTATAACAGTCGACTGAATAGGGGTGTTTTCTTCAAAGTCGGAGTGTATTTGCCTGAGAGGCAAGGAACCAAGTCTGTTAAGAAGTAAGCCAGAGCTGTAAAATTGGATGTGCATGCAAAACTCAGCTTCTGGAGCAAGACTAAAGCCCAGAAGTGGACAAACAACCAGAACTTTTCACTAGAGATTACAGCTGATGTACATAAAGATGAAGAAGAAAAGTAGAATTAGGCAGTTAAATTCTGTTTGGTTCTTTAGAGCTGCAAATGAAACTACTGTGTATATCATTGTTTAGCAGTCTTTTTAGTGTTGCCTCAAAACTGCAAATGTTTGGTACATATGTTTGGATTTTTACTGGATTATGTTCAAACATCTTTTACTTTCCAATTTGTGAATAGTTCGACTTCGGAAACCACAGGATGGTTTGTTCACTGGTACGATTGCTGCCTTGGATACTGCTGACAATTCATATCGAGTGACATTTGATCGACCTGGGCTGGGCACTCACTCAATACCTGACTACGAAGTGTGGGTATGTACTTGTGAGGTTTTCATGGAGGCTTAGCTTGATGTACTTTCTAGCAGTCTCTTGGGAAAAGTAGGATTGTATGATGAAGGCAGTAAAGCAGGTGAGTGACAGCTGGCTGAATTGTCAAGAATGCTGAGCTGTCATTCTGGATTCCCAGGTTTTAGTCCTAGGTAAGATGGTGAATTTTTGTGTCTTGTGTACTTTCAGTCAGTTCTTTCACAGATCTTCCATAGCTGTGTGGCATTGGTAGTTATGTATATCCACAGCCTTCTGTCTCGTATACTTTCACTTCTGACACAAATGAACTTTGCTACCATGAGGTCAAACTGTCTAGCATCTTCTCTTTCAGTCTCCCTCTGCCTCTTTTCCCATCATCACGATGTACTCCAGTTTTCTCCTTTTCGTAACATGACCAAAGAATATAGGTTGCACAGACATGACTTTTGAAGCCAAGGCCAATTTTGAAGAAGAAAATCTGCCTTGATGTGGATTTGAACTGCAAACCTTTAGGCAGACAACAGGTGTCTAGCCACTACGCTGCTGCGGCTTCCCGATGCATGTGTGGGATCATTTAATAATCAGTAAAAGTCTATAGGCGTGCTAACAGTAATCAGATCTGATACAGGAATGAGGTGCCCAAGAAAAAGATGGATATTTGACATTAAAGACTGTTGTCCTCCCACACAGAATGGCAGTAGCAAGATGGATAGTTCACACTAAAGACCGTTGTTTCCTACACAGAATGGCAGTAGCAAGATGGATATTTGACACTAAAGACCGTTGTCCTCCCACACAGAATGGCAGTAGCAAGATGGATATTTGACACTAAAGACCGTTGTCTCCCACACAGAATGGCAGTAGCAAGATGGATATTTGACACTAAAGACCGTTGTCTCCCACACAGAATGGCAGTAGCAAGATGGATATTTGACATTAAAGACTGTTGTCCTCCCACACAGAATGGCAGTAGCAAGATGGATATTTGACATTAAAGGCCGTTGTCTCCCACACAGAATGGCAGTAGCAAGATGGATATTTGACATTAAAGACTGTTGTCCTCCCACACAGAATGGCAGTAGCAAGATGGATATTTGACATTAAAGACTGTTGTCCTCCCACACAGAATGGCAGTAGCAAGATGGATATTTGACATTAAAGACTGTTGTCCTCCCACACAGAATGGCAGTAGCAAGATGGATATTTGACATTAAAGACTGTTGTCCTCCCACACAGAATGGCAGTAGCAAGATGGATATTTGACATTAAAGGCCGTTGTCCTCCCACACAGAATGGCAGTAGCAAGATGGATATTTGACATTAAAGACTGTTGTCCTCCCACACAGAATGGCAGTAGCAAGATGGATATTTGACATTAAAGACTGTTGTCCTCCCACACAGAATGGCAGTAGCAAGATGGATATTTGACATTAAAGGCCGTTGTCCTCCCACACAGAATAGCAGTAGCAAGATGGATATTTGACATTAAAGACTGTTGTCCTCCCACACAGAATGGCAGTAGCAAGATGGATATTTGACATTAAGGACTGTTGTCCTCCCACACAGAATGGCAGTAGCAAGATGGATATTTGACACTAAAGACCGTTGTCTCCCACACAGAATGGCAGTAGCAAGATGGATATTTGACACTAAAGACCGTTGTCTCCCACACAGAATGGCAGTAGCAAGATGGATATTTGACATTAAAGATTGTTGTTCTGCCACACAGAATGGCAGAAGCAAGATGGATATTTGACACTAAAGGCCGTTGTCCTCCCACACAGAATAGCAGTAGCAAGATGGATTTTTGACTTTAAAGACTGTTGTCTCCCACACAGAATGGCTTAGCAAGTGGCACTCATTGTACAACTATTTTTTGTTCTCATGATGCTTGATAGTAAAAGTAGATGGTGGTGTCAGTGATAATTACTTTTTAGTTGTAAATTTTAAATCTGCGTTATAAAAAAAAATTAAATAAAAAAAATCTGCGTGCTGATAATGCATACACAGAAGAAAAAAGAGATAGATGCATGTTTATTCTTTTCGTGCATCCAAACAGAGTGAGGAACCTCCTGACACTATCTCCATCTCATCATTTCAAGAGAAGCCAAAACGTCAGCCTACCAAACAGACCTTTCACAACGCTCCACCCAAGTTTATACCTGGCCATGTTTCACCAAGTTCATCTTCATTTGTAAGTTGAGTGTAAACGCCTTAAGAGAAATTTATGTTGTCTTTCATTTGCAAAGCAAAGTTTTTGTCTCACTACTGCAGATGTGATTACACACAATAAACAAAGAAGAAGCAAACAATAGATTGCACAATTTTTTACCTGGCTATTTCGATGTATCTCGTCGGGTGTATACTACAGTAACAATTGATTAAAGTGGAGCACATAAATGAATCCTTCGAACTGAAACACAAAGTCATAACTACATTCAAAATGAATGTTGCACAAAAACCCCAAGCTTATAAATAGGTTCCCCTGGGGTCTTTCCATGGTCAGCCTATAAACATGTTCCCTAGGGGTCTCTCCGCGGTCAGCCTATAAACATGTTCCCTAGGGGTCTCTCCACAGTCAGCCTATAAACATGTTCCCTAGGGGTCTCTCCACAGTCAGCCCATAAACATGTTCCCTAGAGGTCTCTCCACAGTCAGCCTATAAACATGTTCCCTAGGGGTCTCTCCACAGTCAGCCTATAAACATGTTCCCTAGGGGTCTCTCCACAGTCAGCCTATAAACAGGTTCCCTAGGGGTCTCTCCGCGGTCAGCCTAGATACAGGTTTGTTTGAGAGCCTGTCGACGGTCAGTCTAGAAGCAGGTTCCCAGGGGCCTCACCACCGTTAGCCTAGAAACAGGTTCCCCAGGGGCCTCTCCACCGTCAGCCTAGAAACAGGTTTCTCAGGGGCCTCTCCACCGTCAGCGTAGATACAGGTTCCCCAGCGGCCCCGCCAGCATAGATATGATCCACATGTCTTTCGAAGTCAAGATGCATCTGCCTGAGAGGCAAGGAACCAACAGTCTGCACACAAATAAGTCAGAGCTGCAAAATTAGTGTGCAAACAAAAAAAATGTCCTGAAGTAAGATCAAAGTCCAAAAGTAGATGGACAGCCAGGAGTGTCTGCCAGAGTTTACAGCTGCTGAAGACAAAGAAGAATAAAATATTACACTGGTGGCCCCCTTTACTCGAGATCTACCTCTTTATGTCTGCTTGAAAATATTCTGTCCTTACTTCTGTGGTCTCTTATGTGTGCACAAATGTACACAATATGTTGCAGACATAGGTTTTATAACCAAGCCATTCCAACACAGAAAAACATCTCATCATCTTGAGTTTTTAACTACTGCTGCAATGGATTATTAATTCATTGTGTAATATACAAATGAAACATTTTAATTGAAAGGAATGTGTCAAGTAATAGTTGTTAGAATATTGATTAAAATTGTTACCTCTTGAAATTATTGTGGAGAAAAAGTAGTTGACATTTTTGTTTGTGCTACTTGTATTAGGTGAAATGTTAACAATATTTTTTTCTTGCTAATTTTTGGTTATTAGGTGGTCTAGGACTTCTGTATTTAATGTAGAATTCTGTTTTACTATCATGGATTTTGTAGTTTTGTTGTTATTGCTAAAAATATAACACTGTTATACTGCTGTTTGACGTTCTTTGCTCTTTATGTTGTCATTTTTCACAGCAAACTGGTGGAGATGTATCAATCAGGCCTGCAGTAAGTACCCATATTTTTCTTCAATTTCTTATTGCACATCAGTGTCATGTTTTTAATTTTTCTAGAATATTATTAAGTACATCTTTAATTTGCAGTCTTGAATTTTAGCTTACTGCATGAATGGACAAGGATCAAGTTGATGCTTTTCCTAAGTGGTTTTGTTTAAGTGAATTTTATGCTTTGTATCATCATCATCATCAGGTGCCTTGCCGGCTGGCGTGGACGATCATGCCTCTCCATAATCCACGATCTCCTGCAGCATGTATTAGTTCGTGTGCTGACACACCTCCATGTCATGCAACAAGATTGTCAAGAATCTTCTCTCGTTGTCTTCCTCTATCCCTCCTTCCACAGATCTTTCCAATGGTTACAACATGATTTATTTTTCCTCTTCTCATAACATGGCTGAAAAATGATGACTGTCTCCTTCTGATGTCTTTGATAAGTTTTCTTCGGGCTCCCGCCTCTTTCAAAACCTCTTGGTTGCTCTTTTTGGCTGGCTGTCCAAGGTATTCTAAGCATTCTTCTGTAAAACCACATCTCCGAGGCCTCAAGAAATTGTTTGGCCTGCCTACCGATTGTCCAGGATTCACAGCCAAATGTTAAAACTGGATGTATGTAGCAAGCAAGAATTCTTTTTCTAACTCTCAATGCTTTGTATATAAATCAATAAAAGAGCTGAGAATCAAGGAAGATTGGTTCGAAAATAGCATCTGATTTCAGAAACTGAAATATTGTGGCCATATAAAACACCACAGTGGGTTGGAAAGAACGGTAGACGTGGGCATGATACTTCGAAAGAGGGGCAGGATATTAAAAACACCTTGGGTAGGAAGGTGCAGGAGAGCTGATGAGAGACCAAGTCTCTTTTAGGCAGGCTGTGACGTGAGCTCTGTAAAAGGCCTGCTATATGATGATGATAAGTCAATAGATATATAAAGGAGATGTAACTGGAGATTTTATGTTGCTGTTGTTGACCCATACTCTGATGAAATTGATGCTTAGTCTAGCATTATTTAGTGTTAAGAGTATGAAATTAAGGCTTACTCTGGCATTATTTGATGATAAAGGTATGAAATTGATGCTTACTTTAGCAATACTTGATGATAAGAGTATGAAATTGATGCTCACTGTAGTATTCTCTTATGTCAAGACTATTAAATCGCTGATTACCCTGTTTTTCTCTGATGGTAAGATTGTAAAATTGACACATACCCTGTCCTTCTTTGATTGTGAAATTGATGCTTACACTAGTAAGATTATGAAATTGACTCTATCCCTATTGATTTTCTTCACCATTATAAATTGTCCCACTAGTATCCTCCTCCAGAAGGTGCGGAGGCCCAGTCACCTTTCAAAGGAAAACTAGTGAGCCTGGAGGGAGGTACATATGGGGGTTTCCCAATCAAGTTTCTTGTGTTAGTGGTAAGTGTGACCTGTCAGTGTTGTATAAGTGGTGTAAATCACCTGTCAGTGTTGTGTGTGTGGGGAAAGTCACCTGATACTTTTGTGAAAGTCACTTGTCAGGGTTGTTGTCAAGAACCTAAATGTCTTGGGTTCAATTCCATTGGCTACGCTGTAGGCTAATGACAGAAAAACACTGCTGACAAACACACCCAAGCCAAACACTGGTTGAAACACAAACACAATTTTTATTATCAAAAGAAACGAAGTAGGCAGTGAACCCCTCAGAAGGGGTGGTGCTTCTTATTCTCAAACCAGACCGCTTCTAACTTTAAAATCGCTTAGAGGCACTTTTTTTACGTTCATGAGATAAGCTCTGAGCTACTACCACACTCCTGTGCAGCGATAACTCAACCCGCTGTCTCCTGATGCTAAAGACGCTATGGCACACGCCACGTCTGCGCTAGAGGTGCGTCGAGCCATGCTAATGCCACAAACAATGCATGGTCTGGCTTATCGTAAAGAGTTATAACTACTGACAAAGTCTAGCTACTACCCTAAATCTAATGCTAATTGAGGTCTAAATGGAACACAAATTATCTACCATGTAACGTGTTAAATACATTTAATCACACTACAAACAGTACGCATTACAGCTTATAACTCCGATGGTTTCGTTCAGTTCACCCACGTTTCTACGTGTGTATACATGTACTGAGTTTAGCTAAGGGTCGCAGGGTCTATTGTGGGATCCATCATCATCATACTGAACTATCCCATAACCAGAACGACCCCTGACAGTTGTGTATGGTAAAAGTCACCTGTCAGTGTTGTGTATATGGTGAATGTCTGACCTGTCAGTGATGTGTATGTGGAGAAAGTCACCTGTCAGTGTTATGTATATGATGCAAGTCTGACTTGTCAGTGTTGTGTATGTTGGGAAAGTCTGACCTCTCAGTGTTATGTGTGTGGTTAAAGTCAATACATGTCAATATTGTGTGTATGGTCAAATCACTTGCCACTGTTTTGAATGAGGTGAAAGTAACCTGTGAGTGTTTTGTATAAGGTAAAAGTCACTTTTCAGTGTCTTGTTTTTGGTGAGAGTTACTTTTAAGTGGTAAGTATGTGGTGAAAGTCACTTGTCATTCCTATGAAGTTGCATTTTTCGATATTTGACGAGAGGAAATAACAGTCTGCAGACAGTTGAGCTGAAAATTCAGAACAGGTTTGTATGCAAAGCTCAAGTCGTGGAACGAAACCAAAGTCCAAAAGTGGACAAACAACAAGGAATTTTTGCCAGAGCTCACAGCAGGCGAATGCAAAGAAGACAATCTGGGCAACAACAAAAATGAATGAGCAGCAAGTGCACTGCATTCAAACTTCATTGTAAAAATGGCGATTGATGAGATCTATAATTGATTTGTTTCTCTCTTTTTTTTTTTTTTTTTAGGAAAGTTTTTATATAGCTGGTTTGCATTTACAATAACAGTTTAAACTTGGTCCAATTCACAGACACGATTATCCAAAATTCTTCAAGTAAAGAAGGACTGGATAAACCAGCTAAGTGATATGAACACGGCAGCAGAAAAGAAGGTACATCCGTGTAAATGTGTATGAACTCTTTGTTGCTCTCTTTCCTGAATAAACCATCTTTGTCTTTTGAGAGACTTCCGGCCAGAACAGCAGGCAACGGGCTAACCGCTGTTGCTATGAGAAGTTATTTGTTTCTGGCTAGGTTTTCCTGATGAAAATAATCTATTCTTGGACTGGAAGTCCAAAGGTTCTATTGCCCGGCTACTGAGTTAACAGTGCTTGGTGCGAAACTGTGAGCTGTGGATTTAACAGGGAATTTTGTGTGTGTGTGTGCCTGTGGCATGTTGTTGGCTGCACTAAAATGGTCGGTGGCTGATTACATAAAAAAGGGTGTGTACTTTTGTGGGTGTGATGTCAGCTTTTGTGCTTGACCGTTTGTGCCAGTAGTGAGATGCAGTTCTAGTGTTAGTGTTGGGACATCTGATGGCTTATGCATTTTTACTTTGCCTGTGAAAGTAAAAGATTTTGATAAGACTGACGAGTTTTTCACTAGTTTTAAAATGGGACAGTGAAGAAAATTTGTGCGACACTGCCACACGAATGGAGCAGTTTTGGTGCAACCCATCTGTAGTCATGCTGGAACCTCGACTAACTCTTTATGTGGTATATTATGTTGACCATGCTGCTTGTAAGGAAATGGTTTCTAGGATAACTACACAGAGGTAAAGGTGGATCTTGACTGTTTGGCTCCTGGTACGCCACCACATATGGTGATGCCTGTCTACATTCAAGGTATTGTCCAGCTGGAGACTACTGTTGTGTTATCTTGCTTTCTACCCTTTCCTGCATTCCTGCTTTCTTCTGTGAATCATTTTTATGTCAAGACACAATGTGAATTTTGTAAAATTTGAAACTCCATATTCTCTGTAATAACCCCTATTTAATTCATCTTCACAGCGTTCATTTCAAGAGCCCATCACTCTAGAGTTCCAAAAGACATATGCAGGCATTGTCTTAGAGCTGGAGAAACTCAACAAGGATTTGAATGAGTACCTCAACGGTGTACAAACCTACTGCTTAGATGTAAGTCTTATGTTTTCATGGACAGGGGGTATTTTAATTTGGTGAATTCCTTTAATAATTAAACTACATGCTCTTCTACATTTCCCACATCTGAATAAGAAAGACAGTCTGCATTCTTCCGTCTTGTCGTGAATTGTATGACTGGTTTCATCGCCAGCCTTCTTCTAATTTCTTATTCTTCTTTTGACTCCAGCAGCTCTCTTAAGACATCTAATCTTTTTGTTTATGATTTTGCATTTATTGGTTGTAGTAAAGGTCTATGTTTGATACTAGTTACATAGAGTTGGACAAACAGTAGTTCTAATTAAATTTGCCTTCGTAGACAATTGGTCCTTCTGTGTGTCAAAAGTGTTATGAATGTTGGGAGAGACTTTTATTAAAGTTTATTCTGATTGTAGTCATGTGCAAAACTGCTCTGTTTGAAGTAAACACAGCTGTTTTTTTGTTTCAATTATTGGATGCACTTGCCCATTTAAAGTAGAGGACCCTATTCCACATCTTCAGGTGTATTGTGCATATAGTTCTAGACAGTTTTTTATAGATCGTTCCGACTGCCTTTGCTTCCCAGGTCTTTACTTTACTCATTTAAGCCAGGGTCACATGGGAGCTGAGATCATTTATGAAAAAAGTCTGGCTTCATTCCCATTTGAGCTGACACGCTTCAGATCTGCAAGCGAATGTCTAGTAACTGCACCGCAGCCGCTTGTTTCCTCTCAGTGTGTCCTCTATGTCTTATAACTGTTGTTACCAGTGGTTGCCCAGGCACTTCTCTTATTTCTTCGCCCCTCTTAAATTCATCCCTTTTTATGTTCAACATATTCCTCAAGCAGAAGATAGGGAAATTAACTAGTTCTCAGAGACACTGAATGCAGAACGTGTTGCAGCTTCGTATCTAATGATTTGTTGATTTTCAATGAAAACACAGATTGCACCAGAACAGGGAGTTGCACCTACAGAACCCCCATCAGAAATCCGAAGAAAATGTGATGAAGAAGCTGAAGAGACAGTGGCCAGGATATGTAGGGTATGCCATGTGATTGTGTGTGTCAGTGTATTCTGGGTCCTGTTCACGTTTCCCGGCACATCTGCACACTACGTGACCATTCATTCATACTTTCTCAGACTCTTCTGCGTCCTAGGGGTATCAGGTTGTCTTCCCTCCAATTGCATCAGCGCCACTGACGCATCTTCTGTACTACACGACAACACAGCTTTCAACAGCCCCGGAACATGTAGAACTGGCCCTAACCCAAACCCTCCTACCCACAGCCTTAACCTAGGTCACACAAGAATCTCTTTTCAGAGGAGGCAGTACAACGTGACACCCCTCCGACCTAGATCAGACTGAGAAAATGTGTAGATGGGCCAGGAAACTTAAAAAGGTCTGTATTTTGTTTCACCTTTAATACAAGTAACTTGTAAAATGAGTGAAAATTCAGTAGCCCAGTCCTCTTGTAACCCTACTGCAAGAGGTTAAATTATATGACTGTTTTCTCAGTGTGTGCGCGCCAGGGATAAACCCACTGTACATTGTAAAAGATGACTAATATTGGCTTACTAAAATTGGATATGTTGTGCAGAAAAGTGCATATATTGTAGCTTAGCTGTAAACCACAACACAGCACACCAACCACCCTTTTAAAGTCAAACACAGAAGGAGGAGAGATACCTATTTGGGCAGAGATGCAGATGGGGGGGGGGGGGGGGGAGACATACAGAGGCAAAAAAGAACAATGTAAACAAATAAGGAGAAATGTGCAGAGATAGCAGTAATATAAAAGGCAAGAAGAGCTTTCATAGCACTTGAAAATCAAAAGATTAAAATTGAGAAGATTAACTTATTTGAACTGATTTTATACCATGTGGCTGAGTCTCTCTCCCTGGAATGGCTAATGGCCTGCCAGATGCAATGCACAGAGCATAAACTCTGTAGCCGTGAAACAAACCCATAACCTTCAGAGTGTGAGGCAGGTGGCTTGACCAATTCGTCACGGTAAAAAATCTGCAAACTTTAAAAGAAATTTACCTGAATACCAGATTTAAACAATTCAGCCTGAAAGTTAAATCATTACTTGCATGTGAATCAGAAACGTTAATAATCTTGCATGATGATAAGAAAAATAGAGATTCAGTTTTATAGTAACAGTATTCAAGTAAAAGTTAAAGTACCCTTTTCTACGCCTTTAAACATGTTGGGCAAATAAGGCGGGACCTATATTTTATAGATAGTAGGCACTTGTTGGGGAACATGGGCAGCATCAATCTGGTCGCCTTTACTTCCGAGGACTTCACCTGGTACCCATTTAAGGCTGGGTTGACCTGGGGGACCAAGGTATTTAGAAAGAAAAAAAGTTTGAATGTTTATCCCAGTGAAATATTATGAGGCATTTAAAAGACAGGAAGAGAAATATTGTGAAAGCATATAACGTCAGCTATATACAGCACATAAAAAAAAAATCTCAGTAGTGTTGTTTGCTTTGATCATATTGGTGCCCTCGGTTCATAGTATTTTTTTTTGCCAATTCAAAGTATTTATTTTGCAGGGCATGCTTCAGAATCGAAGAACAGCAAACAATGAGCGGGTTCTCAAATTGGTGGCAGATTTAACATCTATTATGTTACAAATCAGGGTAAGAGACTATATGTTCATTGGTGATTATTAAGGACTATCATTACAGCACTTTGGACAGATCCATAGGGGCTTCTATTGCCTCAATAGCTCTACAAGAGTAAAAACGACTGATCATGCCCGTTCTGTGTTGATTAACCAGACGCCTTATGTCTTTGGTGAAATGTTCATATCTGGCAACTCCAGGCTGTACCCTTATGTCCACCAGCCTTGACAATGATACTTAGACCTGCTTGTTGTCATGATCTTCTTTGTGATATGCAGCTGGGGTGGTTTTAACTCTTTCAGGACCATATTTTTTTCTGGGGTTTGGACAGCATTAATTTTGAGGGAAATTTTTTTTTTACTGCAATACGACAAAGCTAAAACCTTCCTGAACAAAAAGTATTGGCTGTATCGAGACATATAATATATCAAAATAAAGATAAAGGAGTGCAGAATAAATCTAAACTGTTTAAATATCAGTATTACAACTAAGTATTATTAGTCACACAATATTCTATATATTCCTAGAATATTCTACACATGAAGATTATTTACGTAAAAAATTGTTTTGGCTTACCTTACTTTTTTTTTACTTGTTTTATAAAGTAGGAAAGGGGGTGTTAAAAACTTTTCAGTGCTTTATTTTTAATGTTTTTAATATTTTTTTTTTTTTTCAATTTTCAGACATTTTCAGAGAATGAGAACAGTTCATTTGAGTTTGGTTCACTCCAGGAGAGTTTGCAGGCCATCAAAAGTGGATTAGATGCAAATAATATTAAGTATGACTTCATTTCCTTGTTATTTATATTATCAGATCTCTCTGTTAGCATCAGTTTGCCTTTCCTTATGATAATATTGCATTGTGCTGTAGGGAACTATGAGAATGAAAGCCCATGTCAATGATGAGTCTGACTAGTATTGAGAAGTCTTCTACAAGAAGTACAGTAGGATTTTATGGCCAATGGTGCCTATGCTTGCTACATTTCTTTTGAACTACTCAGCTGTTGACCTGTCTGTAATATGTTTCTCTTCTGTCCTTACTCTCCTCTATGCAACAGATCTCTAAAGATGCAATCATTTATAGATGCTAAGAAGGGAATGTGAAATGGTGTGTTGTTGAGATTATTTTGCTGTCCTGTTTAAGTTAAATACTGACTAATTTATGGCTTCTATACTAATTATAGCGGCGTCCGTGGCTAAGGCTTTGCGAGTCCGACTCGTGAGCCAGTATACCGCGATCGAAACCCAGTGCAGGCTGCGTGGATTTTTGTCGTGGTATGGGGACGTCGCAGGTCGACCCAGCCTAAAATGGGTACCAGGATGGGCTGTCCTGGGAACGTAAAGACAGCCGGCGTAATGCTGACCACATTACCCACAGAGTGCTGATGGTCTGTAAAAATATGGGCGCTCTGCCCATATGCCCGATGCGCCGAAAGGCGTGAAAAGGGATCTTTACTTTACTTTTTTTACTAATTATTAATTTTTTCTTCTGTTTATCCTTAAAAGAGCTGTAAGCACACCATGTTTTAGTTTATAGTTAAGCTGCAATTCCTGCACTTTTTTGCTCTACATTCTGTTTGACCAAACTTGAGTTGAGTTCATTCAAGAAGTGACATCACAGCACTTGGGGCATTCCTATAAGCGCTCTGTCGCCATTTTCAGCAGCCAGTGAAGAGTTCTGATACTAATGGTGCCAGTAGCATTCTGATTAAATGTCCATCTTGTCTTTCCTCTGAGCCTCTAGCATCTGCCAGAACCTCTCGTTACTCCCCCCTGCATCAATCTCAGCCATCTGCTTCCCCCGAACTGTAAAGGCACTAACCATGTCTGCCTTCTACATCAGTATTCCACCAAGTTGTGCAGAGCCAGCGAGTCTGTCCGCCTGTTCTTTGCCCAACATACGGGCATGCGCGGTGAAAAAATCTAGACAATACTCCTCACCCATGTCCTCCACAGTGAAGCTTGCCACTCTGCACGGAGAATAAACTTTTATTTAGTAACTTTTTATAGCATGAAACACACTGGCAGTAATAATTTTTTTTTTTTTTAATAGTTATAAAGAAAAAATTTTTTTTTGGTTTTTATTAATTTAATGCCCAGTTTTGCTGTTAAACGTCAATACAGAGATTTACAGTCATTTCCTCCATTGCATTCTGTCCTGAGCAGTTTGGGCCATTTATTCAGTATCGTGTATGAGGTTTAATCGGGCCTCTCTGGATTCTCTTTGACATTTATCAGTTCTCTCGAATGTCCTCGCTCACTCGGTCCATTTATTTCCCATTTCGATGCACGTTTTGTGACTGTTCATCTCAGAATGTGTATACAGTGCGAATTTCTGTTGTGAGAACAATCTGTTTATTCCTGGCAATTTTTCTTGATTGGACTCTTATGTGGATAAGGGAAATTTCTGATAAGAATTTCTTGGGTCCCTGGTTGGTTTTCCTTATCAGATCTGTACTGTGTTGTGTGTTATTTATGTTTATCTTACAGGTGTCTGACAGGTGACAATACTCAACCTTCACACAGCAGGCAGTCCACCTATTTAAGAAATGACCTCTTTACTTGGGTGTTCGTTATATTATTAAAAGCAGGCAGTCCACCTATTTAAGAAATGACCTGTTTACTGGGGCGTTCATTATATTATTAAAAGGGCCCTATTTTCACCAGATTCACATCTGACATATGATGCTGAAATCATATTTTAATAGACCAGCTGGTACTCAGAGGGTTGATGGTATGGTCAGCATCATGCTGGGTACTTTTACTTCTTAGGATATTGCCTGGTATTTAAGGCTAGATCAGAATGGCAGATGATAAATTGTGAATAATTTTTTACCACATTGCATTGTCACCCACAAAGCGTGTGTGTGAAAAATGTTAGCCGATAGCTTAGCAGGAAATAGTATAACAATTTAACACAAAAACCTGAATCAAACAAACAAAAGCAAACTTAATAAAATCTTTTAAAAATAAATATGGTTTCATGTGGGTTCAAACCAAGCACTCAAGGGCGGGCAGATGAGTTCCTAAGTGCTATGTTACACTGGCTTCTGGTTACTTATTACATCATTTTCCTGGCAGACAACCGTAATTTATGTTTAGAATATGTAACTACAAATAATGTTTGCAAGTTTTATTTATAAGGGTATTTTTTTACCAACAGCTTGACAAATTCACACATTTTGTGTTCTCCACAGTGTTTTCCAGAACAACGTAGAAATCCACATCAACCATATACAGAGTGGGCTGAGTCAGATGGGAAACTTGCACGCATTTGCTGCTTCAAACCGAACCAAGTTATAATAAGAGTGATTTAGGAATGCTGGACAAAATAGAACCACATGGCAGTGGGGAACAGTACCCCGGATGTCGATAGTGTGCCTTTAAATTATTTACAATCCTGGAAAAAGGCTTCATGAGGCCTTTATTGACATAATAATTGCAGTGATGTATGACAGTACAAATGGTGTCACAGAGCTCTGCTCTTACCTTCTGATTCCCAGAATAGTGCCTGTGATTTTGGGAACTGATTATTTAATTTCTGATCTTTCAGTTGGGAATGTCAGCCATTGGCCAAGTATCAGATACATTGAATACATTAGATAAGATTGGACATTTGGACAATGTGTAAGACTTATTACTTGTAGCAGGTTTATACATTACAGTGCTGTGATGAATATAACTGTTCTGTCTTAACTTTCTTTTGGTGAGTGGCGGTTGGAAGGTCCGAACAAGAAGATGGGTAATGTGCCTTGTAATGTCCTGCCCAGGTGGCTTTGTGCACGAGGTGTTTTGGCCTTTCTAGTTTCTGAGATCCTTTAAAATCTGTTTTTTACACAAGACTGCATCTTGGGATAGATACGCAGAAATAAACAGACAGTTAAGCCTTGAGATCGCAGATATAATTAATACATCGGCAAGAACTGGTTGACACTCATAGAAGGAAGTAGAGAGACGAGAGGGCACATTAGACAACATAAAAATTGAACACTGTAGTAACTATGTTAGCAGTCGAACCTGTAATCTCTATGAGGACAATGCCTTGGTGTAGAGGCAAGTGTACTAATAAAAAAAAAGTGTCATTGTAAGCCCCCTCCCCCACACACACACACACACGCGCGCGCGCGCGCGCACAGACACACGCACTGCTGCTTGAATCCACATACATTGCTTCTAGCCGCGGACCGTACAAGTGTACTAGTTAAATACATGCATCTGATAATGATGAGTGTATTCTAATGGTATACATCTTTTCCCTTTCCTTTTGTTGTCTTTTATCACCCAGTAGAGAAACAAGGTTATTCTCTAAACCAATTATTATCTTAACCTGCAGCTCACCCTTTCCATCTTCCCAGCAACAAAACTACTTTTGAAAGAAGAGCTCGTCGTTTCGATCAAACCGCAGACCTAAACTTGTTGGCTAACGTATCACTGTAATGATCACTAACCAGTTTCACTTCTTTTCTGAAAATGTGTCAATATAGGGTCATTGAAATCCTAAAAGACTTAGCATTACCTGCCTGCTGAAGCTGAGATAACAAGTTATAAGATGCAGGAGTTGACAACTTCGTGTAAGTTAGTCGATGGCATATGCTTCTTCTTTAGCAATCTCTCGTGCACCAAGAGCCATAAGCTATGGTGTTAGCTTTAGGTCTCTTAGATTTTCTCAAAGTATCGTCAGCTCTACTGGGTGTGGTCACCTGGTGCTTCACAGCTTCTCCAAGGAAAGAGGATAGAATAATCTTGCAAGACATGTTCTGAAATCTGTTCAGGACGAAGACCGAGGCATATAGCTGTTTAGCTCATACCTAATTTATATGTGAGTTTGTTGAGTCTACAGTGTCCAGTGGACATATGCTCAGATATAAGGATGTCCAGTGGACATATTTTCAGATATAAGGGTGTCCAATGGACACACATGCTCAGATATAAGGGTGTCCAGTTTACATTTGCTCAGATATATGGATATCCAGTGGACATATGCTCAGATATAAGGATGTCCAGTGGACACATATGCTCAGATATAAGGATGTCCAGTTTTCAAATGCTCAGATATAAAGATGTCCAGTTTACATATGCTCAGATATAAGGATGTCCAGTGGACATGTATGCTCAGATATAAGGATGTCCAATGGACATGTATGCTCAGATATAAGGATGTCCAGTTTTCAAATGCTCAGATATAAAGATGTCCAGTTTACATATGCTCAGATATAAGGATGTCCAGTGGACATGTATGCTCAGGTATAAGGATGTCCAGTGGACATATGCTCAGATATAGGGCGTTCCGCCGTGGAGAAATTATCCAGACCTCAAGGTGCTTCAGCTTTGTTTAAAGGCTCAATTGAATCAATATTATTTTGTATGTAATAATATATTTGAAATTAAATGAAATGCACAAATACTCTGAAACAGAACTCACATACATGGTTAAGGGCGCTACTCAGCAACTTTGCACATTTTCTGGGGGGGAGGGCTTAGGGTATCCTCCAGACCTGAAGCATGCTGAGGAAGGTGAGGACAGGCATGCTTCGCTTTGGAAGGTCATGGTTGAGGTACATTGTCGATTCTTTTCCGGGGCTGCCAGTGTGTTGGGAAATGAACATGCGGACAGACTGGCTGGCTCTGCACTATTTGGTGGAATATTGAAGCCTGGTGAGGCAGATGTTGTTGTGGCCTTGTGGGAAAACGTGTACAATTTAGAGTAGCAAATCGATCACCACAATCTGGTGAAATGATGCGTCGGGGAGTGATGACGGGATCTAGCCGATACTCGACGCTCAGAGGGAAAGCAAGACAGCCGGATAATCAGAATGCTGCTGGAACTCTGCGCTGGCTGCTGAAGATGGGAACACAGTGCCTATGGGAATGCCTTGAGTGCTGTGTTGTCTGTTTTTGAATCAACTCAACTCGTCCAAAAAAGTTTAGAAAGGGGGGGGGTGGGAGGATTCAAGGTGCCAGAACTCCTAGGTTGCGGTACGTGTGGCCCAGATCATGTTCACATTTTTTTAATAACAATTGTCTTGTGAGTAAGGTGCTGGCCACCTCTTCTCGGTTGGTTGTAATCTAGTGTATGTGAGGTGCTGATTGATCACCTGCCTGCAACGATATTTGTCCTGTGGTTCCTGTTTCAACCTCCAACCTTCCCACCGTCTCAATGTACAATTTTCTCCTCGTGACATGACCAAAGACTGTAGATTGTCTCCTGATGTGGGCAACCAGTTGCCTTTATGAGTTAGTTTCCTTAAAGACATCTTCATTACTCTTTGTATCTGTCCAGCGTATTCTCATCATTCGCCTTTAAAATGATATCTCCACTGCTTCCAAATTAATTTCTAACTAATATTAAGAATGGCGGCAGAAGAAAGGAAAGTTTTATGTATCTGAATGGTAAGCAGAGCATCAGACTTAATGACAATAGCTAAAATCACAGTATTGACACTAACGAGGTCTGTTACAAACTATACTACTATTACTACTAGTGCTGCTGCTGTTACTACTACTGTTACAACTACTACTACTACTACTTCTTCTCCTCCTTCTCTTCCACCATTTACCTCAGCGAGGTGTTGGGGGAGATGTAAGGATCGTTTTTACGCTTTTTCCCCAATGCATTGTACAAGTTGGCGTTCAATTCTGTTAGGCTGATCTTGATAACGCTCCATCTCTTGCATGGTCTTCCCTTTGCTCTGTGTACATTACATTTCTTCAGCGCAGCTCTCTGTGGCAGTTGATACCAGGCCATTTTTGTCAGGTGGCCAAACCATCTCATTTGTTGTATTTTAATGAATTGAATGACTGGTTTCAGTCCTTATTCTTGATTTTATCTCTTCTTGCCACACCAGCAGCTCTCCTAAAAATCAGACTACATCGTTTCTTGGCCAAATATGGTTTTTCTAATCAGTTTTACGTCCAGTAGTTTGCAATTGCTTTCTAACCATCGGTATTTACATTCTTGTTGAAATCAACACAAAATGATGTGCTGCCAGATCGTCCTCAGCTGAATCAGATTTTTTTTCTCGTTCTTCTTTTCCCTTTTCTTAACCTTCGTCAGCATTTACCTCCGGTTGGGATGTTCTGGTTGTTCGTCCACTTCTGGACTTTTGTCTTATTCCAGAACTTGCGTTTTATATGCTCATCCGTTTACAGATCTAGATTATTTGTGTGCAGACTGTTGGTTCTTCGCCTCTCAGGCAGATGCACTTCGCCTTTGAAGGAAATACCCCTAATTAGTCGCTTCCCACGACATGCTTGTTACCATTTGTTCTCCAGAATGGAACCTACAGGGACTGGGATGTTTGAATTTTGCAGGAAGGAAAACCGTGATAAACTGCCTTCTTCTGAGTTGAGAACTGACATAACGCTCATGATATTTCCATAAGCGCCCTGGCTCTACAGCCAGTGCATAGTTCCAGTTGTGATGGTACCAAGAGTTGTCTGATTTACACCTTCGGCTATTCTCCGAATAACGGTCCTAAATTATCTACACATAAAGTAATCCCTAATAGGGCCTCAGTCACGTGTTAATTTCGAACTTCCGGCAGCCACCGCCGAGAGTACTCCCCACGCCGCATGAGCGTCGTGGGGGAGTACTCTCGGCGGAAGTTCGGCGTCGCCAGTATAGTCCCCAGAGGTACGCAATTGACACGTGACCGAGGCCCTGTTAGGGATTACTTTCTGAGTAGATAATTTAGAACCGTTATTCGGAGGATAGCCGACTGGCTGGTTCTGCGCCACTTGGTGGTGAACTGATGTATGACAATCTAGATATGAGGACACTCTAGGAGTAAGTGAACTGTGCGGAAGCACACATCAATCAATACGGTCTGGGTAGAATGACGCTGCAAGGAGTTGTCAGGAAATCTAGCCAATGCGCAACACTCAGGGGAAAGGTGATACGGATATATAATCAGTCAGTTACTGGTGCCATCGGAATTGAAACTCTTCGTTTTCTGCTGAAGATAGGGACAAAGCGCTTATGGGAGTGTCTAAAGGACACTTACTACCCGGTACCTCTGAACTAAGACCACTAGGTGACCAGTCACAGTTAACATCGAGAATATCGACTTCATTGCACCGAGTTTTATCCAATTTGGCGCGGTCTCTCTCTCTCGCTCTCGCTCTCTCTCTCTCTCTCTCTCTCTCTCTCTCTCTCTCTCTCTCTCTCTCTCTCCGTAGAACGTCTAGCCGCCTGCCCAGAGTGTCGCACAAAGCAAACTCCGTAGTTTCGGCGACAATCCTCAGGAATCTCTGTAAAAATTGCCTCGTGAACTAAACGGGCGCAGCCGTGAAAACGAACCCACGACCTTCAGAACGAGAGACAAACGGCGTTTTCACTAATAAAGTTAAATTCGATGATGGCTTGACTAGATCGTTTTTGCAGGACAAAATCACAGACAATGGCGAGTCAGTATGTGCTTTATAGCATACTCTGTCGAGTAGATTTAGACATTAACATTCAAAAACATTTAATTAACAATGGAAAAGAGCGGCCAACAGTTAACAGAGAGATATCAGAGCAAATTTCCCCCATTAAGGACACGCAGTAAAAGACGACAAAGGAAGCGAAACAAATCAAAAAGACAATTTGATTTGATTTGATTCAATAACCGACATCACAGCACTCCAGGCATTCCCATAAGCGCTCCGTCCCCATCTTCAGCAGCCAGCGAAGAGTTCCGATACTAATGGTGCCAGTAGCATTCTGATTAAACGTCCGTCTTGCCTTTCATCTGAGCCTCGAGCATCTGCCAGAACCTATCGTCACTCCCCATCCCCCTCTTCATCAATCTCAGCAGACTGTGGTGATCCATCTGCTTCTCCGAACTGTACACGCTTTCCCACAAGGCACTAACCACGTCTGCCTTATCATGGATCAGTATTCCAATAGACAATAATAATGGCTAAAAATGTCTTCAGTAAGATGAGCAAATTATGACAGATAGAGACTTAAAAAATACACTAACAATGAAAATGGTCAAATGTTATTATACCCAATCCTGCTATATGATGCAGAAACGTGGACGATGAACAAGAAATTCGAAAATCTAACTGAGTCTCATAATAGGTCACATTTTATGGAAAGAAAAACATTCCAACACAGAGGTTAGGAAAGACTACAAACTTCTTTTTCTTCTTCTTCAGCCTGAGAAGGACTAGTAAAGTTTGCCGGGGCGGCCTCGAACGGGTGGGAGGGATTGGGTTCGGCGGTTGACATCATGCATGGCTGGTAGCGAGCTGTGGGGTGTTCTCCGGGCTGGGTGGTTGGCTGGTTCAGCTGTCATGGCGGCTGGTCTGGAGGGCGTGGGTTAGTTTCTCGAGTTCATCTCTAGCCAGTTTGTCTTCGTACGATCCTGCGTATTTGGCTAGTTCTGCGTGTATTTTATCTGACTCTTCTTTTGCCTTTCTGTCTGCCTCCAGCATTGTTTCGAAGTCTTCTTCTGTCATTTCTGCGGCGGTTGTTTTTGCTTTCTGTGCTTTTTTGCGGTTTTGGACTGATTGCCTTTTTCGTTCAGTTTCTTTCCTTGCACTTTCTCTGGTGTCCATCACTTCATTGGTGGCTTGCAGTGCGGCGCTCAGTTTGGTCAATTCTTTCTTTGCCTTGGCTAGCTCTGCTTTTGTTTCTATCGCTTCTTTCTTGGCATGGGCGACATCAGATAGTAGATTTGTATGGCTTCTTTGGCGGATTCTGCGTCTGCTACCTTGATCTTTTTGAGTTCAGTGAGCATCGCTATCAATTCTGTCTTGAATGCCATCATCTCGACATTTTCTTTTTCCAGTCTTCGTTGGGTTTCTAGGGACGACTGTATGATGCTTCTTAGGTCGTTCATTTCGTCTCTATCCTGGATCCTTAATGCCTTGATCTTTGTGTTTTCTTCCCTGAGGGTTTTGATTTCGTCCCTCAAGAGCGTGATCTCCTTGTTGGTTGCGGGTGGTGCGATTGTCGAGCTAGGCGCCTGGAATCTTCGTCTTGGCTCTTGGTTGTGAGTGGGCCTGGTGGTGGTAGTCGGCCCGACTCTCTTGATTCCTTTCAGGTACGGGCAGCCCTGGTACCTGGCGCTGTGTCCCCCTGAGCAGTTAGAGCACTTTCTACTTGCATTGGGTTTCCTGAAGTCTGGATCCAGTTTTGCTAGGGGGCACTCCTTGAAATCATGCGGGCCGGCGCAGTACCTGCAAATTAGGCTGCTGCGGCAGGTCGCGGCGTAATGTCACGCCCTGTTGCATCGGGAGCACTGCATGATTCCTGAGTGGAAGGATCCATTCTGCTGTTGGTGGTGGGTGCCGGCGGTTCTTTTTGGTTCTGCTGTGGCTGCGACAGTGACTGGTGGTGTCTGGTCTGGTGCCGGTGCCTCGACAGGTGCTTCGTCTATGGTTGGTATCGTCCGGGTGGGCGAGACTGTCGTCTCTACAGGAACGTCGGTAGTTTCTGGCATCGTCTGCATCGTAAGGGCTGGTGCGACGACAGGTACTTCCTCTTGGTTATCCGGCGTCGATCTGGTGTTTCGGCGCTGGAAGGGCTTCTTCTGGCTGGATTTGCCACGGGCCATGGTTGATTTAGGCTGAGACTGGTGCTAATCAGGCGGCTATCGACAGCTCGATTCCTGCAGAGTCAACAAGGCTTGTTAAGTGAACTGAAAAGTACACCAAGCGTGTCTTCTCCGCAGTTCACGAGACAATCGTTTTTATATGGTGCTACAACAGGCTTCTCAACAAAGATGTGCTCACGGGCTGCTAATGACCCAAACGAAGACGACACCGATAGCGTAGTCGAGCCAAACTCAGCCGAAAATCAAGCGAGTATTGACCAGTATCTAGCTATCGATAATCAGGCTGCGAATGGATAGTTAGCGAGCGAACGAGAGACACACGTGGCTGATCGGGCGGTTTGCTGAAGATGGATGGTATGTCGATTTTGCCAGTTGGATGGGAATGAGTATAGGTACCTCGGTATTGACAGTTCTAGATCTCCTGAAACGGAGATACATAAGCTCCAGAATCACCTGACGACAAAATGGCGGCTGTCATAGACGCTGTCAACACTGTCCTGGCTTCAGGGCAGCACAGGCACATATTGTCTGTTATCAAGGGCTTCAGAAATGGCGCTGTGTAAGTGGTTGTCGATATGTATAAATTCTATAGTTTTCTTGTTTCCTACTTTAAAAATATGGTTTTCGGCTTTTAAGGAACTAACAGGGGAATTGTAAAGCATCTGAAGTGTAATTCTTTGTAACTGGTTAGTTACTGTGCAGAAAGACTGAGATTAGGGCGGGGTCAAGAAGGTACCGTGTTATTTGTAAATCTGTTGTAGTGTAGTTATTAGAAACTAGTAGTACGTGTCTGTGATTATATCTGCCCATTGATTGGATTCAGAGACAGAAAATGGTGGTGGGGGGGGGGGGGGGGGGGGAGGGAATTAAACTTGTTCGTTAATGTTATGCAGGAAATGTCTTGAGGTGCTCGCACCCGATGTCTCTTCAAAAACTGACGCTGAAAACTGAAAGGCAGAGTTGAACAGGTTGAGAGCAGGCACAGAGGAGCAGTTTTGTGTCAGAAATGTTTGTGAGCACACAAGACACATAACTGTGCATAGACAAAATGATGAACAGATGCCACATGCATGGACTCATGCCACATGAGCTGAAATGAGCGAAGAATATTTTAAGTGCTACTAACTATATATTTTTTCACTCTCCTTTAAATAATGGTCGCTAGCTGGAAAGCCGACGGTAGCTTAGTCGGAGTTCATTTCCTTGGCTGCAGTGCAAATACGGAGTGGTAAAGAGGGAACGAAACAAATTGTATAGTTACCTGTCATCCTAGGGTTAGCCTTAGGGCTTGGGTTAGGATTTGGGGTAGGGGTAGGGTTTGGGGTAGGGTTAGGGTGACACATCACGGACACTACGGAAGCTTATCGCTCATTACGACATACAGATTCGCAGGTCTCACATTTACGGTCACTAAGTCCTGCGTCAGAAGACCGCGGTCGCTAATGTGAGTCCCAGCGCGTGGTCTACGAGAGTCTTGCATCGCAAGACTGCGGTCGCTACTGTCAGTCGCAGCGCGTGGTCTAGCTCTAGCAGGCATGTCGACCTCACTGTGTTTTTTGATTCGTGACTTGTCAGCTCCGTATTTGCACTGCAGCCAAGGGAGTAAACTCTGACTAAGCGACCGTCGGCTTTCCAGCTAGCAACCGTTATTTAAAGGAGAACCTGTTTATTTAATGAAATATTCAGTATAAGATGTTTTTTTTTCTTTCCAGATACGGAGCAAAAATAAGATTTCCTCATGCGCTGGTGATGACTATTCTGTTTAGAAATGGCAGGTGAGTGACCTAAGGTTAATCTCGTCATCCCCTTGTGGTATGCAATTTTTAGCTATTTTGAAGCCCCACCCTGGCTTTTGCCAGGGGCCCTGAAATATGGCCTAAAGGCTGAACAGGGTTTCCGGGACCTCTCCACTGGTGATCCACATGCCCATGGTGGCACTTTGTGTAATCAGGTATTTATCGCTTGTGTGATGTCCTTGTGGGGTAAAATGTACTAACTACCTACCTACCTTTTTTCACAGAGGCTAGTTAAAGGCATTCTGTGTGGTTGTTGCAGGCACAGCAATGGAGCAAGTATGGGGGTTGACCTATTTGCCATGAATTTGGAATAGCGGTTAACTGACTGACTGACTGACTGACTTGTAAAGCATATGATGATACTGATAATGATATTGGTTTTCTTTATACAAAGTCTGTGGACATGAAATCACTTTAAAATCACCGTAACTCTTTCTGTCCTAATCAACGCACTATGTGTGACTGGATGTTATTAATGTTAACCACTCAGTTTGTTATCTGTGTTTTATTTGTGAAGTTTAGTGAAGGATTCTTTAACTCTTTCGGGCCTATGAACTTTGACAGACTTGTGTCACATTAACTTCCCTTTAAACAAGTGGCAGAGAGGGTGGTGTAAAAGAAAGCAATTGAGAATGTAATATATTTCTAATCCCTACAGAAGTATAAATTTGGTTAAAAGGGGAATGAATGTGCATTTTAAATCTGATGGTATGTTTTTGTTTCATACAGTTAAATTTAGCGGGAAACAAGAATTCAGCAGGTGTTATAAAGATATAATTCACCCCAAAAATCTTGCCGGGCTCTCTAGTGTAGTTGGCTAAACCGGATTGCGCTGTGAGCGGGTGACGAACTCCTTGTGGTTCGGGTTCACTCCCGGGGGTAGGCAGGAAAGTCACTTTTCTCCCAGATTTACGGTATTTACAATGGAATCAAATCCGAAAGGTTGCGATATCCATAATACCGAGCCTAAGGGTTAACAACTCATGGTTTCTGGATACTTAAACAAACAACAACAAACCCCAAAAATCTTCACTAATGGTTTTTCAGCCACAAGAGCAGTGAATATCCATATTCAAGAATAACACTTTAAAGCTTGCTCAGTTTCCTAACAGATTCACAAGTTATGATACGTTTTTGGATTAGTTTATCACTTAGAGGCTCTAGGTTCTCATTGAGTGCTGAATAAAAATTCACAGAAACAAATGGCACAAAATTGGACCTATAGTTTTATACACACAAAATATTAACTTTATAATTATATTCAGATTATAGCTGCAGTGATTTCAATGCAGCTTAGCTATAGTATGAGTATGGTACTATCTGAAAAAGTCCTCTTGATGCAAAGGGGGTGACTGTCAGCATCCTTCGCAAATGAAATGGGTCCTCCTGGTTTATCTCATCAGAATGAACAGCTGAAATAAAAAACCTAACCTGCGCAGTGCACAATAACAGCACATCCTTGAGGCCTAGAATCCTCAAGCTCACAAGATGCTACTAGACTGTCGACACCACCCTAAAAAGTGATAAATAGACATTTGTGACAGTTTTTTTTTACATTTGTTTTTTTTACAACATGCTTTTAAATTGGGCAGTAGGTCTATTTTTTTAATCCCCAAAATGGGGCCCAGGAACCCCACAAGAAAACAGAAAGAGTTAAGCAGCACAGAGCATATTTGTCTGACATGATTTTACTTTCCTGTTTGATATTTAACCTTCATGTATATTTTGTATATTTTAACAAGCCTCAGAGATAAAATCATTGCAATTCTGGAGGCCACCTACACACACTCAAGAAATCTGGCAATGTTTGTTTTTGCGTACAAGGGCTTGACGTCAACACTTTCATGGGGAGAGTCTAAATCTCACCAGCTTCACGCATTTCTCTCTGCTTTCTGTGCAGGTTTTGTCATCTTTGGCAAGTACAACAATGTGAATGAGCAGGTGAGCTGTACTGTTTTTTTAAATAATGTCAGGACTTTAGGTTATTGAATTTCCATCTTCCCCATGTGTGTTATATCATCGTCATCATCATCATCATTGTCCTTTTTTAATGTCTTGGATGGATTTCAGTCCAACAGGCACCTTTGGCCTCTCTCACCAACATTCGTTTTAGTGTTTCCTCTGGACTTCCTCGCTTCTTCAACTATTTGAGTGCTTGCTTATTTCTTCTCAGGATGTGTCCAGTGTAGCACCATCACCGACATTTTTGTCTTATATAACTATTGTGACCAGATTTGAGGTTTGCTAAAATCACATTTGTTGGGCTGAAAGGAGTAGATAACGTAGCTTAGCTATACTGCCCTTTTAATGGTGAACACAGAAAAACTGTAGGTTGTAGCAACTCGCAGTGAGGTGCAGTGAGGTGGTTTAAAAAAAAATTGACTTTATGCATAAGAACTGTAGGGTATTGAATCCCCGTTGAGATGTGAGATGGTTTATGAAAACTGACTTGAGCTCATAGTGTGGTACAGCTTGAAGTGGTTGCCAGGTAATATTTTCGGAAGCAGAGCGACTCTCATATTGCTGATGACATCACTCACTTAATGATTTTGAATGGTTTGATATATAGTGAGGACAACCAGTTAAAAATTCAACACTGAATTTTAGCATGAAGTCTGTTCTACTGCAAATTCACAAGTAGAAGGAGTTAGAACATAGTTTAACATTTTTTTATTCTTTTTCTTGGTTAATCCGAATAAGAAGAATGAAAAGAAGAAAAACTTTGTTGTTCCGTGTCTGAGGAAGACATTTTATCCTTGCAGATTAACCTGTACCTGCTGTCCAGAGTTATTTATGGCCTGGGCAAACTCCTGATCCAGAAGAAGGTCATCCCTCAGCCCCAGACAGATGTCTTTCCCTGGTTTGCAGCCATCATGTGGGGCTTGACCCTCTGGCTGTTTGAATACCAGCGCTCCTGTCTCCAGCCTTCCCTAGTCTCCTCTATGACATATTTATACAAGGACAGTGATAAGTGGACAAGCCTCAGAGACTTTCTCATTTATAATCAATGAGAAGTGTTTTTGTGTTACATTTTAAAACCGGTGTTAATGCTTTATCTAATTTATTGTTGCATACTTTTGAAATCTGGCAGAAATCACATCAGAATTGTGAATTATGCTTTCACTTGCGAAACTGTTAATTAAATTATGCCTTTATTAAGATGGAAACCACAGTTGCTAGATGCTCGTCTGCTGGCCTGAAGGTCTTGGATTCGAATGGATATTAAGTCAAGTCATATTTTCAAACACTGACCTCTGCAGCCAGGTCGCTCTAGTCATAAGTGGGTACCAAGTAATGTACTAGGATGTAAAAGATGGCAGGATGTTGATCATATCCCCATGTGGATTTGGGGGGGGGGGGGGGGGGGGGGGGGGAATGAATCGACCCACTGTCTCCCTGACAGCAATGTCGTACAAGACGACTAACTAGGGATGTTTCCTTTGAAGTCAAAGTGCATCCCACTGATAGGCAAGGAGCCAACATTCTGCATACAAATAAGCATTTATAAAATGGACGTGCATGCAGAACTCAAGTTCTTGAGCAAGACCAAAGTCCAGAAATGGACGAACAACCATAACTTTTCACAGGAGTTTACAACCAGTTGAATGCTAAGAAAAAGAAGAAGAAGACTGCATCACATACCAAATGCTGATTAGTCTGTTAAAAACATATGACTCTGGCATCATATGCCTAGGGCACCACTGATGGTAAAGGGGTCCTTCACTTTACTGCATTAAAATATATGTATAAACATATGTGTGGGCTTTATTGCTAAATTTCTGAACCCTGTTCATATCTTTATAAAACCATGTTCATATTTATGTAATTCTTTAACTATTTTGTCTCTTGCATCCTGCTGCTGATATCTGCTGTCTAGGCTTGTTTGGATGTCATCATAAAGTCAGCTAATTTCCACTTTTCATCAAGCCTGGGGCTCGGTACATGTGATTTTGACAAGCATTTATTAACTCTTTCAGTCCCAGTCAGTTCACCATCAGAGGCCCAAGGGGTAGTAAAAAAGAGACAGAAAATCAGTGCATTTTGTGTTTATTGCGCTTCTTGGTAGGAGCCAGTGAACGTATGATGAGTTTCTTGGAACTGAAAGAGTTAAGGACTATTTTTCCTAACCTTTAACTCTTCCAGGTTCCCTCTGTGGGTTCTAGGGCCCCATTTTGAGGGGGAAAAGAGTAGACCATAGCCCCCCCCCAGTGGTATCAAGAAAGCTGACCGTCCAGAAAGCAGTAGCAAACTACTAAACATAAATTTGTCTAGAAAAACCACACAACAGCCAGGGGCTGTTGGGGTTGGTTCTGCAACGTCCTGTAAAGGATACGCAACTAACCTCTCTTGACTTGTCTGATCTTTGGAGACCCTAAGTAGCTGTTGGGGTTATTGGAAAATACGAGTCCCTCTATTACTGCAAGGTGGAGATTCATCATAGGGAATCAGTCACAACATAACTTTTGACATCTTGTTTGTTTCTTTGTGATACTCATTTCTGTTTTTTATTGTGAGCTTTTATTCAGTTTTGTTTTGTTTCTTTGTCTCTGACAATTTTTGCATTATATTTTTATAACTGTAACCTCATAAGCTACCTGGTTGATATTTTGCACACTTATGTTTTGTGGATGACATATCGATTTTGTGAAAAAAAATATTCTGAAGAAAAGTTTTTAATTGTCTTTTTCAATTTCCAATATTTTTTACAGCCAAGGAATAAAAAAAATTTTCCCCCAGGGAAATAGTTTTTTTTTACCAGGAAGATAATTCATAAATTCACCATAAAAATATTGCCATCCACTTCTACCTATATCCTGATAAGCAGCTGAACACATATTTTGTAGCTATAGACTTTGTTAAAAACAATTTATTGTTGAAAAGTATATTTAAAAAAAATAAAATGTTTTTTTTTTAAAATAATTTTTTGTTTTACATATATGTATTGGGCTGTAAGGTCTTGGACCTTACTCAATCACTTCAAGTAATGGTGGGACGCATTTTTTTCTTATTTTAATGCTCAATGCACACTGTAGTCGGGGCTCTGATATAAGGTAATGGTTGAACAGGGTTTCTGGGACTTGGGCCCAGGTCATTCTCATCCAGTGGTGGTACTTTGTGTCACCTGGTGTCTATCGATTGTTGTGCGGTTATGATGGGGGTTGAGGGTCACTCACTCAATGGCTAGTAGGTTCCAGTCTGCAGAGAATCTAAACTGAGAGTGCTTGTGGGCCATTTATCATCTTCGTGCAGCCACCTCAAAAAGCCTAACACTCTAAGATGAAAGAATCTCATTCAGAGCAGACCATTAGAACCTAATTGGTTTGACACCATAAGATTAAAGTATCTCGTGCTGGTGGCAGAGCAAGATCAATTGGTGGATGTTGCACAACATATTGATTTTATAGTTACCGGATATTATATCCACTGATGTTAATACAACTGGAGGTCTGCCAAGAGAGTTAGAGATTCCGTTAGGACAGTGGTTCTCAACCTGTGGGTCACGGCCCTTTTGGGTGTTGAACGACCCTTTCACAGGGGTCGCCTAAGACCATCAGAAAACACATATTCACTGAAGTTTTGAAGTAGAAACGAAAATAATTGTATGGTTGGGGGTCACCACAACACAAGGAACTGTATTAAAGGGTCACCACAACACAAGGAACTGTATTAAAGGGTCACCACAACACAAGGAACTGTATTAAAGGGTCACCACAACACAAGGAACTGTATTAAAGGGTCACCACAACACAAGGAACTGTATTAAAGGGTCACCACAACACAAGGAACTGTATTAAAGGGTCACCACAACACAAGGAACTGTATTAAAGGGTCACCACAACACAAGGAACTGTATTAAAGGGTCACCACAACACAAGGAACTGTATTAAAGGGTCACCACAAAACAAGGAACTGTATTAAAGGGTCACCACAACACAAGGAACTGTATTAAAGGGTCACCACAACACAAGGAACTGTATTAAAGGGTCACCACAACACAAGGAACTGTATTAAAGGGTCACCACAACACAAGGAACTGTATTAAAGGGTCACCACAACACAAGGAAACTGTATTAAAGGGTCACCACAACACAAGGAACTGTATTAAAGGGTCACCACAAACACAAGGAACTGTATTAAAGGGTCACCACACACACAAGGAACTGTATTAAAGGGTCACCACAACACAAGGAACTGTATTAAAGGGTCACCACAACACAAGGAACTGTATTAAAGGGTCACCACAACACAAGGAACTGTATTAAAGGGTCACCACAACACAAGGAACTGTATTAAAGGGTCACCACAACACAAGGAACTGTATTAAAGGGTGGCGACATTAGGAAGGTTCAGAGCCACTACTTTAGGAGCTAAGAAAATACTATGATCTGACATTGATGTTAGCATAGTACTGGTCAATGGAGCTATGGGATATATAACAGACATTATAGGGTTGCACTTGTGCTGAGATCACATGTGTGCAATAAACTTACCTTCCGCTCATATAGACTTTGTTGATGTCAGTTCACACATTATTGAGCTAAACTCAATATAAAAATTACAGCTAAATACATCTATGATTCTGTTGACCATTTGATACTTCCTGTACTTTTATCATGGGCTACAACAGTACGCAGGGGAGCAGAATATGTTGTAATCAATTTAGGACTCTTTGCAGATGGTCAAGCATATGTTGCTCCTAGCAGAGTAAACTTCGTGGAAGGGCTTAAACAGAACAAAACTGACTGGGTCAAAACCATGTAACAATGATCCTTCAGCAAATATAAAGACACTACAAGCACAGGGTCCACGATAGTCAAAAAGTACATACATAGGAACCTCGTTTCTCAGACTTCTCCCCTTTGTGGTAATTCAGTGTCTGAATACATTTTTTTAGGTAGGACATGTCTCAGAATCTGGAAAAGAAACTCGGTGCCTGACCAGCCAGTTCACACATAACATATTCACAGATTGAGTATGATGACTGAGCATCTTGCTCTTAGCGCAGATTCCTGCTCTAATGTACATAAGTCTTTCATGATTTTCTTTTACAATGCTCCTGCTCCGCATCCATGATTGGTGGTCGCAGTATATATGTTGGTGTTTTCAAACATATGGTATGTTTATATAGTACACTATTGTGTCAAGGGTATGACTTCAAGAGTTCACCGTCACTACTTTGCATTAGATTTTGTTGAGATGTCTAATCTCACAGTGTCATACCTTCAGGTAGCAGCCTGGAGGGGGGGGGGGGTTAGACAGCCTGTCAGTCACTTACAAAGTTTAAATAGTGAATTATGATGCACTAACAGACACAGATATTGTACCGTAAATTTGTGAATGTTAACAGATTTATTGGAGATGCTGGAGCAGCGGTCCTCAGCCTGTAAGTTGCTACCCTTTTTTTGGGTTGTGCAACTCTTTCACAGGGGTTGCCAAAGACCATCGCAAAACAAATATTCATTGAAGTTATGAAGTAGCAATGTAAATAACTGTATGTTTGGGAGTCGCCACAACATGATGAACTATATTAAAGGTTTGCAGCGTTAGGAAGGTTGAGAACCTCTGTACTAGAGTGATAAGTTATTGTTGTTTACATGATTTTTTTTTTAAATTGACTACTTTGAATAATAATGTATAAAAAGGACGGGAAGTGGGGAAAAAATAAAAATAAAAAAAGTTACAAAATAAACAGACACTTTATAAAATAAGCTTTTACTACTTAAATTTCATACAAAAGTCAATGCTCTAAAAAAAAAAAAAAAAAGAAAGAATTTATGATATAGTTTATTAGACAGAAGATTTTCATAATGACATTTTTTATCAACATATTTATTGTATGTATACTTAATTATTTAGTTAAATGGATACTCAAGTTTAATTATCTTGGCAAAAAGGTCGTCTGCAATTTTATACCACAGCTAATTAAAGTGAAAAAACTGAGTCACCAGTGAAGAACTAATGTTGAATTGAGAATCAACATCACAGCACTCGGGACACTCCTATAAGTGCT